CCCTAAAAAAAGAAAAAAGAAAGAAGTAAAATCTTAAAATAAAAGCAAATTAGCACATGACTGGTCGTGCCGTTCTCCCACAATTAAAGGGACAGTACCCAGTAGGCTCATAAATCACAGGTCACCATCTCCCAGCCAGTGAAGACCTAACCTAGTGACATGAATATCCCCCCCTAAAAAAAAAAAAAAAAAAAAAAAAGAAGAAGAAAGAAGTCAAATCTAAAATAAAAGTAAATTATCACATGACTGGGCTTGCCGTTCTCCCACAATTTTAGGAACAGTACCTAGTAGGCTCATAATTCACACGTCACTATCTCCCAGCCAGTGAAGACCAAACCTAGTACAATAATACCCCCCCCCCCCTCTCCTAAAATGAAGAAAGAAGTAAAGTCTGAAAATAAAAGCAAATTAGCACATGACTGGTCGTGCCGTTCTCCCACAATTTAAGGGACAGTACCCAGTAGGCTCATTATTCACAGGTCACCATCTCCCAGCCAGTGAAGACCTAACCTAGTACCACGAATACACCCCCCCCCCCTAAAAAAAGAAGAAAGAAGTAAAATCTTAAAATAAAAGAAAATTATCACATGACTGGGCGTGCCGTTCTCCCACAATTTAAGGGACAGTACCCAGTAGGCTCATTATTCACAGGTCACCATCTCCCAGCCAGTGAAGACCTAACCTAGTACCACGAATACACCCCCCCCCCCCTAAAAAAAAAAGAAAGAAGTAAAATCTTAAAATAAAAGAAAATTATCACATGACTGGGCGTGCCGTTCTCCCACAATTTAAGGGACAGTACCCAGTAGGCTCATTATTCACAGGTCACCATCTTCCAGCCAGTGAAGACCTAACCTAGTACTATGAATATCCCCCCCCCCCCTAAAAAAAAAAAAAGAAGAAAAAAAAGAAGAAAGAAGTAAAATCTAAAAATAAAAGAAAATTATCACATGACTGGGCGTGCCGTTCTCCCACAATTTTAGGGACAGTACCCAGTAGGCTCATAATTCACAGGTCACCATCTCCCAGCCAGTGAAGATTTAACCTAGTACCACGAATACCCCCCCCCCCCTAAAAAAAAAGAAAAGAAAAAAAGAAGAAAAGTAAAATCTTTAAAAAAAGAAAAGAAGAAAGAAGTAAAATCATGACTGGGCGTGCCGTTCGCCCACAATTCGTCCCTATTTTCACGAAGTGACGTTAGTGAGGAAAATCGTCACGCAAAGTGAATGCAATTTTGTTTCATTACCGTCACTTCGTGAAAACAGCGACGAATTAAAGGGACGATTCTCCGTAGGCTCATCATTCACACGTCACCATGTCCCAGCCAATGAACACCTAATCCAGCACCATGAACCCCCCGTTCCCCAACAAAAAATGTTATATCTTAAAATAAAAGAAAACTAGCACCTAAAGGGTGGTGCCTTTCACCTACAATTAAATGGACAGTGCCCGGTATGCTCTTCATTCACAGGTCACCATCTCCCAGCAAGTGAAGACCTACACCTAGCAACATGAATAACCAAAAGAGATACAATTTAATGTCTCAAAATGAAAGAAAATAGCAACTGACTGGGCGTGCCGTTCACCTACAACTTAAGGGACAGGGCACCGGAGGCTCATCATTCAGAGGTCACCATCTTTTCCCAGCCATTAATGACCTAACCTAACACTATGTATACCCCTAAAAGATGCAATTTAATGTCTTAAAATGAAAGATAACCTTTGGATCTATGATGTTCACCTACATCGTGTTCCCGTCCCTTCTGTTTCATGGTACAGTATTCGAATAACCAACTTTAGATTTAAAAATAATTGAATGTAAAGAAAAATAAGGGAGGAATCACAATTCCTGCTTTTAATGCGATATGCAATAGTATTCCACTAGCTATTCAATATTTAAATCAGATGTACAGTATTCCATGAACAAAGAATGTTCAATCATAAATATATATATATATATATAGAGAGAGAGAGAGAGAGAGAGAGGGGGGGGATAGGGGAGAAGGCAAATAAAATTCTTGCTTTGAATTTTATGTATCCTATTCAAACAAGCAAATGTAGATTTGATAAGTCAGAATCACAAATAGTGAGCGAGAAAGTGTGAGAAATTGTGAGAGATAGGGAGGGAGAGAGAGAGGGGAGAACAGAGGATGGGTCTTGATTTGGAGCTGATATACAGAAAGAAGAGAAATAAAGACCAAGACATAAACAAATAAACAAATAAATCGAAAGATAAAATGATACAGAAAGAGGAAAAATGATATAAAAATAACACGAACTGTCTGTATTCGAACAGGTCTTTTCAGAATTACACTCTTCACTCTGTACTTTTCACTTTTTAACCTTCGTGATCTCCTCCCAACCTTCTTAATCTCGATTTTGTTTTAGCCTCAATTTTACGGAATGACCTTTAAAGATTAAATATTGTTAGAGGATGTAAGGAGCTATTAGAAAATTCTACAATATCGAGAAACATCCCTGCTGCAATGGAGAGAAGGGTAAATCAAAGAGAGCATTGGACGAGATAAACAGCTGTTAAAAAAATACTGAGAATTGTTGGATATTAACAAAAGGCTGAAAGAGGGAATCACAACTTTCGTAGATGTTATATACAGTGTAATACTAATTTGTCTATTTTTTTTTTTTAAAGAGTTATAGAGGGAGGGGGATGTATCAATAGGAGATGGGAGGGAGTTAGTATATTCACACATGCAAGTGAGAATTTGATAGGTCATTTAGAAAAGGATAGGGTGTGTTTGAAGGTATTTTTGTTACAAACCTGAAGTAGGGCCTACTGTATTAAATAATTTAATTTATTTAGTAAAGAATTGAGAAGAAAATCAGAAAAAGGTTTGCAATATATTTAAAGACATGTAAAAGGAGTCCTATCCTACTAGACGAACAACAAAAACAACCCACAATAAAGGCAATTGTATAAGATTGAAGAGACAAACTGTAAAGATTAGCGGAGAAGGAAAAAGGATAAAAATATTACATTTCACAGAGAGTATAACCAATCATATTAGAGACCACACATGGGATTTACTGGGGCCGTATACCTGAAAATAGTGAACACGATATATTTTGTGTCCGATGTCATGCTACTACGTATTATGATAACTTTGAATAATATACTAAAATCAACAAATTAAAATAGTGTCTCATACTCAACTATAAATGGACAACTATTTTACCCCAGCCACGCATAAAGGTGTGAGGTGACTTAGATTACGTGATTTCTTTTTTACTTTAAATTGTAAGATGTCGGGAATATGCACCCCTTTAAAAGATAGGATTGAGAACAATCCGCGACAAAAAGAAAGAGAGAAACAGAATGGGATTTGTTATAAGTGAGTAGAACCTATATATGCATAAATTGGATATAATGCATAAATTGGATATAATGTATACGAAATTTTAATCAAGTAATTGCAATTAGAAGCTGAGATTTAACTTATTTGTTTCAATGGACTGGAAAACTTTTATGATCAATAATGCTTAATGATTAAAGTGGTTTTACTGTTTGAAACTTCGCATTTCTAACCCTTTTTATAAAAAAGAATGTATTCTATTCAATTGAATCATTTTTTTCATTTTATATTTTTATTCTTAATTTTTCTTATCTTTTTTAATTTGATATTTTTTAATAGTATTTCATTTTATTAGTTTGAAACCATTTTCATATAAGATCATTAGTTGTTGGAATCTTCTTTTCTTATTCTTTTGTGCATTTTCTGATATTCCACATGAAAGTACAATCTTTCCACAAGTACCGGTACACATCCTAAAACAAGCCAGTTTGTAATTGCAGTCTAAATTTGTTTTTGGTTTTAAAAAACGTGGAAAAAAATACTGGATACATGCTCATGTTCAAATATTCATTTTTATTTCATGCACCATTGATATTTCATGATACACAGGTAAAGTTGTCTCTAAATGGAGATAAAAGACATTCACGTGACCCCTCCATTTTAAGGATCATGTTGGGTCTCTTCATGTTCAGATATTCAGTGGATATTTCGTGCTAATTACGAACTGGGTAATTGGACAACTCCTGCCAAGTGTAACTCTTACAACAAGATACAATTTGAAATATCAGTACAACTGCTTTTATGAGAGGGATGATTGCAAAACCCAATAACTAAGACTTACAAAAGAAGACAACTTCTGAATCCTTTGTTAAAACAATATAATGTATATTTCAAAAAGATTTTCGACCAAATATTCACAAGTTCTCAACTTAGTAACCAACGTGTCAAAGTCATAGATATACATGACTCCCATTAGGAGGTATGGGGGTAAACAGATCTGGTGAATAGGAACATATTGTCACAAGGTAGACATTGAAATACCTGCATACCTACGACGTGTGTGCGCGTCCCACGGTGAGGCCTGATCTGTGGAATAAAGAGATAAACAGAATGCTGTATTAGGCATCTCAAAGGAAATATGATGGGGCAGATACAATCTTAAAACTCAAAGACAAATTATGACATTTTGTTAGGTATAGTATATAGCAAGTTTATACATTCATTTCAAAATAAGATTTATTTCCAAGTATCTTGAACAAATATTAAAATATTTTTTCACCTTTCGGCCCTACATTTACTAATTATAAAATAAAGGAAACATAGCAGTTGCATACTCTCCAAAATGATGAGGACATATGCAAACAGAAGCAAACATGAAGACCCACCATGTACTGCTAGAGTGTTATAAAGAACTAATTACTATTTCAAACATACACTGTATGAAGCCTAATAATGAACAGTACACATACCTTCTTGGAAATAATTTACAGGCGGTCAAAGAAAGAGAATGGCCTCCGGCGTCTACCCCGACTGACCACACCCAGTCTTTCTTGACCACGATAGTACAGCGGGCCTTGTTTGAGTGACCATGTACTACCCGTCTCGGCTTCCTCCCTACTATTCCTATAGCAAGGCGTTTACGTCCCGAGAACCTCAGCAGTGTTCGACCCAGTATCCCCCCTCGGTCTCCCCCCCTGCTGCTTCTGCGAATCAGTCTGTAGGAAAGAAGAACGAAGTGAGTTTAAAAAAAAATCATTCATACTAAAAGTGGAAGTCCACCCTGATATCAAGTTGGTCGTAATTAAACCATAAAAATGAGATAAACAAAGTAGTGTGATATCAAATTAAAAATATGAAAGTTATGAATGTGTTAAGCTGTCATCATGTAAGCTCCTCTCCTACTTGCTCTGTAGAGATATATTTTTTTAAATTCTCTTAGTTATTGATGACGGAATAGAAACATTTCATACAGGGGTTGTATAAAACCAAACTTGCAATGATTATACTTAGGGTTAATATATGATTGAAACATTTCTTAAGTGAAAATATACGTTTTTAGGATTTTTTGGGGAAAGGACACCGGGAGGCGGGCTCACGTCACGTGAAACGTCAGAATCGCCAATTGTGTTTGATTGCTTGCTCCCATAATAACTTTCTTATTTTCAATCGGTTTAATATGCTTAAACTTTCACTGGCCTGTTTCTCTCATTTATCTGCTTCTATTAAAACCAACTTAATATCAGGGAGTACATACATCCCCTTTAATTTCATTATAAGCCAGATCTTTGGTTTCATACTTCTTTTTAACGTACTTAACAACAGAATATGCATTCAGTTTAATTCATTTTCAGAACCCCCTATATAAGTGGCAAATAACATGTCGCTGTTAAGGCCCTTTAGGGATCGATGATAAAAGAAACATTGAAACCGCCTCGGCTCACTTTGTTTCAACTAAAGATAAACAGTTGCTGCTATGTTGGTAAAGTTTGGGCAGATTCACAAATCTTTTGTTTAGGTACATAATTATACTTTGAATACATTGTATGCTCGTCTATTTTTGGGGAGGGGGGGGGTATTGTTATAATTATAAAAATAGGCGAGCGTAGAAATAAAGTAATTTTACTTACCCAGGCTATTATCACACATTGCCTCGCCTCGCGGCAATCCGGGCCGACCTCCGCAGGTTCTGGTTTGCCCGATTGGCGGCACGACGTTGCTCCCTCTCTGCGGCGAGCTGAACAGCGGCAGCTGCGATCTCTCGCTCTACCAGACGCGGTGACCTGCGTCTCGGGTGGAGTTGCTCACGCTCCTCCGCCCTCCTACGCTGTTCATCCTGCTGTTGGCGATTAGCAGAAACGACCTCCGCACGACCGTTCTCGCGATGCAACTTGTTGACTGTATAAACCAAGCAAAATATAAATGGTTAGGATGTGCTTCATGGCATTTCACAGATGACATTAAAATACACGATTCTCCATTGATATTTGTTATATAGATCTACCCCCCCCCCTAAAAAAGGCCAAATGGTGGCCCAACTCCTTAACCTGTCACAGTACAAAACGTACACTTTGAATGATCCATCATCTTACATACTTATAAGTTACAGCTATAGGGGCAGTGTAATTAGTCTCAAAATATTTTCGTCATGAATCAATATTCACGATTCTATACATACTATTTTTAACCAGTAAAGGTCTAGGGTCCACAAGACTGTCTTTTAAACAAATGAGAAGTAACAGTAATTTTGAGAGGTTTACTTTGAATAAATACATACCGTGTTGCGTGCAGTAGAGTTCAACGGCGTTTTCGTCTAGCGTGTGACGTCCACGCCGGCTGCAACGTCTGCCATTCCCATGAAGCCCAGTATGTGCAGAGCACTGGACCTCGGCTGGCTGTCTGTAATACAGGAAACATACAACAAGGACATATTACTACTAGATTGCCAATAATAAGAGATTGCAAATAATTATAAAGTGCACATGTTACAATTTTTTAAACACTTTTGATTAGGTAATTTGACAAAGGACGACTCTAAAGAAACCTATGTCAACCCATTTAGGGGTCATTATACTTCTTGAATGTATAATCAACTATGGTTGGTAAATTGGGTTTTAATTTAGGAGATTATTGTGTACTTACTGACGGTGTTGCCAGCACTCTCCTTCAATTCCTAAGGCTAGGGGTACCTTCCTCAAACAACGCGTACCCTTCTGGGTATACTCCACGCAGTTATCGTTGTACCGGTTAGCAATCATTATGACACTAAGCAATACGACGACGACGAATTCAATTACGAAGCAAAAACTAAGTAAAAATCTCCAAGCGACTTGTCTAAGACAGAATCTAGCAGAGACAGGCAGATTTCTAGCTCCTCATCTTACACGAAACCTAAAATTCGATTTGCGCGGGCGGTTTCTTTGAATGCATCACGTGATTTGAGCAGACGAACGAATCACATTCACCCAAGACAAAGGCATTTAATAATGGCAACGGGTTCCAAAAATATACTGGTGATAACTGTCATGCTATTGAGCCCACCGTGCTAAAATCTATTGTCATGCTAATATAATGTTGGAATTCCAGCGAACCTCGTACTTTCTATCGTGTGATTTGTAGAGGAATTGCTTGAAGCTATCGTCTTCAGCTGTTGATTGATAGAGCATTATAAGGTTATTCATGTACTGGACATACTATTGTTCTCCTGCATGGGTGATCAGTAAAGTGTGCCCCGTATGACGTGAACGCCTTTTTTTCATTTTGATGGACACGCAACAATAAACCTGCAAACAAAATCGATGTCAGAGGCAAGCAAGTAGCCACGGAGGGAGGGGGGGGGGGGGCATGTGCCCCCCAATTTTTTTCTCCAAGAACGGTTGACATTTTAGACACCTTTTTTGAACCTCGATCGATTACATGTTCATGTATGTGCCCCCCCCCCAAAAAAAAAAAAAAAAAAAAAAACATCAAACTCTGGCTACGTGCCTGGTCAGAGGAGACAGTGAGAAGGAAAAGAAGAAGAAAGTGAGGAAAGTGTGATAAATATTTCTTTTTTTATATCACTAAAATCGTCAAACAATCAGACCGCATAGACTTACATGTATTTCCCCTATTTCGTCAATGTGTACAATCTGTTGAATTGGAATGTTGTATTGATTTGCCATGAGACAAACACAGATTCACCCTTCTATAATCACCCAAACATCACATCACTTGTTTTCTACCCAGTCCGGATTCTACCAATAGACCAATTTGTAATTAACACAGTCATGGTTAAGCTGTAACGAATGGAGATACCGTCTCGAAAGAATTTTCCGAGGGAAAAATATTCAAGATTAACCTGGCTTGACAAAAAGAAATGTAACCCTCTCCAGCAAATATTTACATCGACAGCTGTCCATATCAATGCACAGTCCTTCACTGGCATTCCAAATAGTACGAAATGTTACGCAACGCCATCTGCTTTCCTAAGTTCTCTATTCACTCTTTTGCAAAAATATGCAAGCATCGGGCTTTGAAGCCATGCGTGGCACCGACAAATTAAGTCATGTTCAGGGAAGACGTATTTAGCTATAACATATAAAATGCAGAATTCACAACATATGACCAATGCAACTTTCTTTTAGTCATCAAATGCGTTTGCCGTTCTCGGATAGCTCTACTGAAGACATGGCCATTTCAACCAGCGAAATCAACCAAGGAAATCATGAGTTAGAGCGAATGAAAGATTTTCATCATCATGATTTTGTCAGCTAATTACTGACATTTTCCGAAAATTTCCGAAATTTGTACATAGCTGGGAAGGTAGTCCAAAGATTTATCTTCCTAAAGAACTAAATAAAATTGCGTTATATGTTTGCGCATTTATTGATTTAGGGCTAGAAGTTGTCAAGTTATCACCACTATTCAACCAAAGTACGGGCCGGCAAAGCAAAAGCCGCCGTGCTCGCTGGGCTGGGCTGTGTGTGGAAAGGGAGGACTAAGTGCTACTAGGGAGCTGTACGGTTTCGGAGGGGGATTAAGGGGGTTACGGTAGGGGAAACAAAAGACGCGCGGTGCCACGGATGACTTCAAAGGGCCTCTTGGACGGGATCTCCATTCATTACAGCTTTCTGGTACGAGTTTAAATGACCCCAATTTCTAACAGATTTTGGAGATGGCGCTTTTTGGATTTGAGAATAAGCGCTGCTAATGTGATAGCGGTGCGTTACGATTCCCCCTTTTGACAATAATACTTTCACTTGTGTAGGTACCATGCATGTAATGGAATTCACTTTTGATTACGTAATTTCCATGACCTCTATCTGTTGTAGATCGTAGGTTATCATCGAAATAACTGCATACAAACATACAAAACAAGCCCCGCGAAACGTTTTAAAAATTGTGGGGGGGGGGGCTAAAGTATTTACGATTAGGTAAGTTCAAGTTCATTTTATTCAAAACCACACAAAACATGATACGATCTTTTGCCTAAAAAAGAGACTGGTAATAGTACATTAATCATCATATATTAACTTGATCACATCATAAAATAACAAGTTTTAGGACCCCTTTACAAGTTAAGCTTGTGAGCGGGGCCCTATATAGTCAACAAAAATACATTAACAATAAGGTGAACAAATAGAATGTAACGTAGCTGTATATACAAGGGATGAAATTACTAAGCTATAGAATGTAGAAAAAAAAAAACACACACACACACACACAATGCTCGTAGCTAGGGAGGGGGGGGGTACGCCCCACCCTCCCTAGCGACAAGAGGTCCGCTAAAAAAATTTAAAAAAAAAGATATTTAATTAAAAACTGTCACTAAGCGGACACTTTTTTTGGGGGGGGGGGGTCCAAAAAAAATCGCAATGACTCAGCCAGCCGAAAAGTCGCTCAGTGGGGGGAGGGGGGGGGGGGGTAAGAGGACATTTTTTTTTTTTGTCTCGAAATTTGAAAATTTGACATTTTTCTTCGTTGGGGGGGGGGGGGGTAAGGTCACCTTTTTTAGGTCATCCATGGGCATAACACCCCCCCCCCCCCTGCGTACGCGCCTGTGACATATCAATATATAATCAAAGTACAAAGGAAAGAGAAACTCTACAAAAGCGAAATTATGAAGACAATTTTTTTTTTACTATTTGCCTTCATTGACACAACTGCTTAAAATGATATTTGAACACTGCCTTCTTACGAATCTTCTATTCCATGTTTCCTTCTTTTTTTCCTTCTTAATCTGTAATGCGGTTATTTTTACTTTTCAAAACACAAACAAAAATAGTGCGAAATCTGAAAGTATTTTACAGCGATTTACAACATCATTTTCAGACGTAGATTAAAATATTTTAGTAACTTCCAATTGCAATCAACACTTGTATAACTAAATGGAAAACCAAGCAATAATTTATTTTCCATTAACACGAAGTATTTGTAATTGGAAGTTACTTTTGCGCATATGCATAAAACTGTGGGGTTTTTCATTAACACTTGCTTTGCGCTATTATTTTGGGGTTGGCTTTTTATGTTGTATAAATCAAGACTTTTCTGTAGTAAAAAAAACAAGAATATCAAGCGTCTTTTTTCTTTTTCGTAATCATCATTAATTTGTACATGAACAGTTTCTTAATGATAGCGTATACTGTTGCGAACATGCGCAGACTGGTTATAAGATTTGACGGATTCAAAGAACTAATTTCAGTGTCCCTACACTCTCAAAACTAAAATGTTAAATTACCATTTAATAGGGCGGAGGAGTGAGCATTTTATCAAATTGGCCTATTAAGACTTTAAACATGCTGGATCCAACACTCTAAATGTTAAATATGTGTATATACAAAACTCTAGAAGGCTCAGTTGAATAAGCTATTTCATCAGGATTTTTTTTTTCTTCAGAAGTTGTATTCCTTTTGAGAATTTTTTATTTTTGGAGCAATTATCTTTAACTTATATTCAAGAAATTCATAAATTAACAACAACAAAAACGATATATATACACGTCAGAAATGTACGTGGATAAAGTTTGTACATATATAGATGCCATGTACATGTAGCTTTTCATTTTTCTTGCCTTCGTTTTAATTCTTTTTTTTTAAATCACATGCAAAAATGAAACCCTCTACTCTGAAAACGGAAAGTTTTGTGCTTGAAGAAAATAAATATATATTATATTCTCACAATAACCCTCTAAGAATGAAATAAAAAAGCAGTTATGGGTAGGTTTTCATAAAGAGGAGAACCAAAAATAATACCAAACCGAGGAAAAAGGTTATTTAGAACAAAGATCATTTTCAAATTATAGTAGTATTTTTCAAAGCATCAAAAATTGGGAATTTCTGCTTCAAAAATATATTGAGCAAACATACACAATGTACCATTGCCCCCCCCCCCCACTGGGATATACTATAACACCGAACTTTAACAAAGTGATTTAATATGAAGATTATTATCAAAAGTAGTGTTTTTCAAAGTAACAACAATTGTGAACTTCTGCTTCAAAAATACATTAAGCAAACATTTGCAAAGTGCAAATTTCCCCAAAATACAAGTGACATCATTTATGTAGTTAATGTGACTTCGGTTATCAACAACTTTGACGGCTCACAAGTTATAACATGCTATTTTATTACATTGTAAAACGAATGCGAATATTTATTCTTCTTCAGACTCTTGAATCCTCATCAATTGACAACAAATTACTATAATCTTTCGTCGATATTTATTGGTACCACCCTGTTTTTGTTGCAAGACAGAATCGAACGAAATTCTTTTAATCTCCACCAATACACCACAGAATTTGTAATCAAATTCAAAACACTACACTCGAACACTATAAAGTACAGACAATCTCCGAAAGAGATGACACTTATGTAATACGAATTGTCTTGTGTCAATCTGATCGATAAAGCTAAAGACAAAGTAGCAGAAATCAAAGTTGTTCCATACACTAAAGCGAATGTCCGAAGAAGTTGTTTGTTTTCTCTTTTTCTGTCCATCATCTGGATGTTGTCATTGCATGAAGCCTTAGCAACAGCGTGATAGATCAGGCAAATACTTGCACCCGTGAAACAACATAATACCATTTGCGAAATGGTGGCGCCAAGTTCTGCATCTTTATCGTAAAAGCTAATCTCGAAAAATTCTACTGCAGTGAAAGCAGTTAACCAAGATGCGATACACGCGACAAAGCATCATGGAGTGGTGATGATGTTGCGTACACCAAAGGGGTCGATCCGAATGGTGATGAGCTGATAGAGAGCAACAAAGAAGATGTTGATAAGGGACACATTGGTTCATCATGACTCGTACCCGAACCAATCCACGCTGTTGATAAATTGGTGAATGAAAGATAAATAATAATAATATTAAATACTTGTTTACCCCGTAGTGAAACTTCAGTAGAATCGGTGCTTCCAGAGAGCCCTGCATTTATTTGTTAACCTATATCAAGACATGATCCTCCACATGTACAAGGCCGAGATCGACATAGACAAGTTTGCCCAACCTTCTATCTGTGAATTCAACCGCCTTCCAGCAAAAACAGCGCCAGCTGACTGTCCAGAGAACTTCAAAGGACTATTTTTGAGGCACCAATCCACTCTCTCACATGTCACCTTCTCCTCCCCCTCTCTCTCTCTTTCTCTCTCTCTCTCTCTCTCTTACTCTCTCTTGCCCCTCTCTTTCTCCTTCTATTTAGCAAAACAAAATTTACCTCTTCCTATGTCTCGATATAACAGGACAAAGGAAACTGATCTGAGTGACATCTCTGCTAACAATGTACGTGCTTACCTCGTAGGTAAATCCATGATGCTTAAAGGAGTTTGTGACATTAAATCTTGACATCAAATATTCATTGAAATCGAAATGCTCTCAGCAAGTATTTTTTCCAGTTGCAGGGGAAAACTAGAACTAACACACCTTAAGAATAGCGAATACAAATTAATTCGCTAATACATCTATATATTTTTTGACAGCTATCACTTTAGTTTGAAGTGTTTGACAGACTTTCTGAATATTTGATGTGAACATACCTGTCAGACGCTATATTGCATCAATTTCTATTTCGTGATCGTAGGCCTTATACAAGAAATTCATTTCTATTGTGGAGGGCACAATGTTTATTTTTACGCGTTTCGCTAATTTAATAGATGTGGTTTCCATTGATTAATTGCCACTCAGTATCTTCATTCAATATTTGATGATGATTCACAGCATTTGTATGGCGCCATATATCTGTTTAAAACAAACATTCGAAGGCACGAGCTCCTCCAATAAAGTTAGCATTTAAATGTCTGAAGGAAGATGTGAGTTATATGAGGGTCAATAGGCTGGCATTAAAGAAGTTATTGCAATGTTATCAACTTTAATGATATCAATCAGGACGACAGCTCTAATTTGTCTACTTGAAGAAAATAAAAAAATCTTAAAAAACAGATACACACACACACACGCACACCCACACACACACACACACACACCAAAAAATGTCGCACATGCATATAATATAAATTACTTTTTATAAATATTGCAGTGTACCTTATCGATCATGACCAGAGTACTCCATGGTACACTCTTTGAATCATAGAATAAATGCATGCTTACATAATGTGACGTTTCATTCCGTAGAATATAGTTATAATTGTCGAATGCAAATTGATAATGCAATATACGAGGGTCTTTCAAAAAGTGTTTTCTGATGTGCCCTTTGTTTCCTTTTGATTGCATGTTAAGCGTTTTCTATAAGTTATGTGTTGGTCACACGGTCCTTTGTACAACAAAAGTTATATTTATCGCTACAGAATGGAACATTATAGTACATTGGTTATATATTTAGAGTTTTATTACAAATTAGCACTTGATTTTTTTTTCCAAGCTCGAATGTAAATGAATATTGAATATCTGGTAACAATATGGATTTAATGAACATGTGTACTTGACTAATGCTGTGTGGCAATCTTTAGATCTTTAGCGCTTAGAGATTTCAGTGGTAAGTGCTTTATAAGTACCGTTTTTATTATTATTATTACTATTATATTTCAAATATATGGCTGCAGATAATAATAATGAGAAAGAGTTTTTCGGTAAATGTGGTTTGGTTCTTAGAAACAACACAGCTTTATTGATTGTATCATATGAATTATACATACACCAACAATCCATTTTTTGACAGGCGCTTTGTTTGTAAAACATTTTCTGACTTAAGCTCCACACAAATTCAAAAGTAAAAAACGAAGCCGGGAGTTATCGGTGTTTTATCCTATCTTTATCAAAATTATAATTAATAAATGACATATATTTGTAAAGCTTATATCCTCCTCTTTCAAACGAAACCGAGAATTATAGATGTTTTATCATTACTTGATCAAAATTATAATTAATGAATGACATATATTTGTAAAGCTTAGCTCGTTCATAAAGCTTAGCTCATATGATGCACATTTCACGCATGAGTGATTAAAAACAATGTGAAGAAAGGGTACCAAAAAGTCATTTGGCGAACGGTTTCTGAATTTCAAAGAGAAAATCACAGTTCTAGAAAGTTCATTTTCTGCCCTTTCATATGACACATCAATCAGGAATAATTTTATGAAACGAATTCGTTTTTACTGGAAGCTGCCGTAGCAACAAACAACAAACTCCGTTTCGTTGACGATCAGCAATGCATGATGACCTTCGTCTTCTTTGTTGTTAGGGCAGACATCAGCCAATAGAATGGATTCGTTTAAGGAAATGCAGGCATTACTTTAACAGAACTTTGTTATTTCTAGCTCATTTTTCCTGATTGAGGTGTCATATGAAAGGGCAGAAAATGAACTTTCTAGAAGGTGATTTTCTCTTTGAAATTCAGATACCGTTCACCAAATGAATTTTTTGTACCCTTTTTTCAAATTGTTTTTAATCGCTTATGCGTGAAATATGCATCATATGAGCTAAGCTTTATGAACGAGCTAAGCTTTACAAATATATGTCATTTATTAATTATAATTTTTGATCAAGTAATGATAAAACATTTATAATTCTCGGTTTCGTTAGTTCTGGGACGCACTGTATAACACCCTCTGGCCAGGAATCGAAAAAAATATAAAACATAAGCTTTTCACTGCATTTGTACTGAAAGATAAATTAGACTACTTTGAATTCATTAAATTATATAAAAGTCTAAGGACTATAATGATATCTATGTGGATTTTTGTATCTAGTATCTGTACAGTGACGCCTTTGTTTGCATGGATCTAAATTCGTAATCTGTCTGAATAAATGTCACCGCATGAAAAACTCGTCCATGTTTCTTTACTTTTAATGGTCATATTTTATTTCTTAAAATCACAATCGACCACCAGAAACACAGTCGTCTCATCTTTATCATCATCATCATCATCATTAACATATCAATATCACTATCATCATCACTTTTTACCGTACTGCAGTCTCATTCCAGTATCAAAAATGTTTTCTTCTTCCTCATTTCATCTTCTCCTTCTTTTCCTTCTTCTCTCGTCTTTTTTCTTCTTTTTCTTCTTCTTCTTCTTCTTCTTCTTCTTCTTCTTCTCCTTCTTCTTTTTCTTTACTTCACTCTTTTCTGTTTTCATCTGAGGCACTCTTCGCTTAAATCACTTTCTTAAAAACTTGCTTTCCCACAAGAATGGGGTATCTAAAACTTTGGAATCATTAATTTGTTGCATATCTATGATGGGCTTGCACATATAATTTCATTTATTTATTTTCAGTTCTGAATACAAGATAAAATCAGTAACATTAAAATATACATAAAGAAATATAAACTTATTTAAACAGAACTGGCCAGGGCTCCAAAATAAGCAAAGTTAGATGCCATGTGGGCCCTGTCGAAACTATTTCTTTTAAAACCAAATTTCGTCCCCATGGACTTCTTCTCTTGATTTCTTTTGTTTACTTAACATCACCTTTGTTTTTCAAGTTATTCATTCGATAAATTATGATTCTGATTTTAACTGGGCTAAAAATAATCCCATTCCCAATATGTATAATAGCGGGAAATTAGAAATGCACTTTTATTATCATTATCATTATTATCATTATCATTATTATTATTATTATTATTATTATTGTCATCGTTATTATTATAATCATTATCGCCAATATTATTATTATCGTTGTTATTATTAGACTAACACCTTTCATATCTGAAATTTCACTGAGTACCAACTCTGTGCACAAGTTGAACAGAGATGAGAACAATACGCATCCATGACGTACTCCTCTTTTTATTTCTGTGTAACCTTTAATTTCATTGTTAATTTTGATGACAGCTGTCTGCTCCCAGTAAAGTTTAGATATGAGACGTATGTTCTTACCATCCAGATTAATTTTTTGTAAGCTTTCAATCATTTGTCGTTGTGAATTTGTCGGTAACAGGTAATTAGTACTAAAGTATGTCTGAACGCGAAGACTATAATCCACGATTACGTAACACACAATGTTCCTGACGACGGCACGCTACTTTCAATGGTCTGCTTTTATTACGCCATTTGACTCCGCTTACACTATGCGGAATAATACCAGACGCCATTCGGGCAACTACGTCTACGACACGAAAAATGGTTACCTCTACGTTTTGTCAAGCTCGTTTTTGGCTATTAGGGGTATTTCTGTTGAATTTTTCATGGAAAATTGAAGGACAGAGCTGGTATGGTAAGTAAATTATGATTAATCGCGAATTTTTATACTCAAGTCATAGTGAAAGTGTCAAGCAATATTATGACGATATGCCATGAATGTTTTGGCGAATATCGATCAATTTTTGATAAAGGATGTATTTGGTCTGACGCGTATGTCATTCCGGCGTGTAATGTTTTGATTTATTGATTGATTGATCAATACATTTCATACATACATTTTATACAATAATTAATAATAATAATAATTAATGTTAATGTTAATGTTAATGTTAATGGATGAATAAAACGATATCATGAATATGAATCCATTCATTATTAAATGATGAGTAGTTTACCATCTCCGTAATAAACACAATTTTATCATAATTTTCATTAAATGATCAATATGATATCATGATCACCCGATAATGGTCGGGTATTATGTTTAGTTCTATCACGGATTTTGCATTGCTTCGTAAAAGATAATAAGATCAGGAGACCTTCATTGTTTAGTACTTTCGTGTTTGTCATTTATTTCATTTTGTTTTAATTTCTTTAAATATGCCAACTAGCGATTTCTTTTCATTTACTTATCCATCTATATATTCATTTATTTATTTATTTATTCATTTACTCACTCATTTTATCGTTTATTTATTCACCTATTTATTCATTTTTCGTTGATTGGTGTATTGTTTGTTGGTTAGTTAGTTCGTTTTTTGGTATTTTTCGCTTGAGCTGTGCATTTTTGTTTCTCCTTCTTTTTCAGATGTAAGACTAGTCGATGGATCTTCGAGTAATGAGGGTCGAGTTGAAGTGTATTACTTTGGAAGCTGGGGGACAGTATGTGACGATGATTTTGGAAGTACCGAAGCCGACATCGTGTGTCAGCAACTCGGATACCAATACTCATCCAATTATTATAGCAGTGCCTTCTTTGGCGAGGGGAGCGGGAATATTTGGCTTGATGATGTGTATTGCTCGGGGATAGAGCAGGATCTAGCAGACTGTTCGCATGATGGATGGGGGGTTCATAACTGTTATCATTCTGAGGATGTCAGCGTAGAGTGCTATAGTGGTGAGTAGAAAATATACCTGTTATTCTTTTCGTGTATTAAGATGCCGTTTGGGATGCTGTAGTTGTCATGAAAGAAGACGAGTTCTTCGTCAACATGGCCTAGAATGCAAGTTTTTAAAATCCTTGAAAATGTGTATGACACAAAACATAACTTTTGGCAAGGGGAAAATTCCATGTCAGTGTATTTTGACAACATTTCCAAGAATTCTGTTCGTTATACTCATGTAGAAATATAATGCTGATAGTGTACCTTTCAATGATTATTTTGTCGTTTCTGAAGGTGAAGGTGATTCTGATATTGTCTTGCGTCTTGCTGATGGTGGCCTGTCATCAGAAGGACGGGTTGAGATTCGTTACAACGGACAATGGGGGACGATCTGTGACGATTCCTGGGGCCAAGAAGAAGCCGACGTGGTGTGCCAACACCTTGGTTATTACGGTGCCAGCGAGGCAGTAGGAAATGCGTATTTTGGTGAGGGTAGTGGAAACATCTGGCTGGATGATGTGTCTTGTGCTGGATCGGAGTACGGCATTGAGGACTGCTCTCATAATGGGTGGGGTGTTCACAACTGCGGGCATCAGGAGGATGCAGGAGTCAGATGCTATGACAGTAAGTACATGAATATAATTCACTTGACCTTTCAACATCCAGAACACATGCTAAGTGGCTCTGGATATACGCGGATGGGTCAAGCCCCAACTTTTCTCCAAATCATGGAAAGTGCCCCTCTTGCGAGAGAACAAAAATATTATTCTTTCTCACAGGAGTGTCTTAATCAAATCGGTTGACAAAATATTTTAAACTTCTAAACATAAACACACTTTTTTTCTCAAATTTTCCAAAATAAAGGAGCTATAACGAAATAAATAATGCCCCTGTCGTTATTTTTTGTATATATTTAGGTTTAATTTCCACATAAACTGCATATGAAAAGAATTTACGAAGTAAGGCACAATGTAACACAATATGTACATAATATTGGATAGATACAGTAAAAAAAAAAAACGATTGAATGGCAAGTCATTAAATACAAATGATGCTAACAATAATCTGCAGTAATGAGGAGGAAACCTTGGAAGCACTATGCTTGTAAGGTTCCCTATTAAGATAAAACTCGGCAGGTTGATCGGGTAAAATTAAGAATGATCATGTAGCATTGCGGCAATGTGGCTTTGCATTATGAAATCATATCATTTCATATCGAATCAATAGTTGTTCATTTATATTCATTATATTTCATAGTTATTTCTATATTTGTATTCCCATGATACAGGTTATTACACTGAATATGGTTTAGGAGTAGCTGTGATTGCTGGCATAGCTGTGGGATCTATCCTAGGCTGCACTCTACTAGCATTCCTCGTCTGTGTTGCATGTAAAGCATGTACCGGTACTTCAAGTTCGACGACAATCAGAGTTAGCCCTTCAAGTTATCCCGGGCCTACCTCTTCCTCCTACCCGGCTACATCACATGCCAACCCACGACCAGATGACTTTAATAATGGCCCTCCGCCATCTTACGATCAGATCAATAAACCCACATCCTATGCCAATCCTCATGGGGTACAACATCATCCACCACCACCACCACCACCACCAGCTGGCACATTTAACCCTGTTGGGGGGCACGCCCCTCATGCCCCTGTTCAACCTACTGGTGCGTACTCTAATCCTGCATGGCAAGCTCCTCCACCAGGTGCACATCCTTCATCTTACCCCCCTCCCATGGCTCCAGGTGGAATGGGAGACCAATCCAACCCCTATTCTGATCTACCTCCCTTAGCTCAGCCAGCTCCTGTACCTCAAGCCTATGTACCTCCACCAAGCCATGTCCCACCACCCCAACAACTATACTGAGGATGCTTCAATGCGATCACGGTTCAAAGAACGCTTTAATGTGATTCCAAAAATGTTCTAGTGTTAATATTTTTCTATATTTGCCGTTTGTGCAGTAAACTCATGTAGATGTACATGTTCTTATACCACATGTCTTTCAATCGTTAGAATACCATGTTTTACTTCCATAGTTTTTAAAATATGCATGCATAATCAAAATATGAATATTTTCGACGATTGTCTAACTGGATAAAGTCAACGTAAAATTGATTGAAGCGATATTAAATAAAGTGAGAATGTGTGAACTCGGACTCTAAGTCGATGTCTAATATAATATGTTGCCGGTCCATATAATGCATGCATGGTATGGATATTTAGGAAGGTATCTCAATTTTGTGAAAACAAATACAAAACAAACGGAAGTATCTCATTGATACTGAATTTTACTGAATTTAATGTTTGGAAAGTAAGTCTTAAGAGAATTTGAAATCCAATACTCGTGTCTTTCATCCATTACGTATAATCGACATTGCTTTATTTTCATATAAAATGTGAATTTGATTATTTGTGAATGAATATTGATGGTTGCTGTGGATTATCCGAGATTAATCAATCAAAACTAGATTTCTTTCATTTTCATACATTTATTTATGTCAGTTGCTGATAAAAAGTTAGTGTGAGTTGTCTTCATCAAAGAACATAATTTCATAGCTGGATAAAATACTTTTTATTTAAAAGATTGTATATTCGACGCTTTGGATTTGGGAAGAATCCCGTTAATATCACTGCATATTTTACGTTAATATATTCATATCAACACGGCGTCACAGGGTTCGTACAAAATGAAATAGACCAATCTTGTAAAGTAAGGGAAATCTATTGAAAACTTGAACGAGAAATTTGCAATCAGTTGCTAATCGTTGTTATTTTTCGTAAGTATCACGTTTCGCATGGTTTCGCAGACATTGTACATACGTAATTACATGTATTATTTGGTATATAGAGAGAAATGGCGTGTGCATGAAATGAGATTGAAAATCATATGAAATGCAAAATAATTTTTAGAGCACCAATGTACTATTTTCTTCAGCAAATTAGTCGGTAAAGACTGGAGAAGTAGCTTAAAGTTTGTACATCCTTTTGCAAAGTAGATTGTAAGCTCAATTTGTAGACAGCACATCATGACATAGCCTAAGTCTAGAGCAAATGTGAAGCAGAAGAGTTTTATGGAATTATCAAATAAATTGTATTAATAATAAGGAACAAATAAATTCTTTAATACACTTTATCTATTTTGTGTACTAGCTTATTCATTTCATATGATTTCTTGCAATCCTCTCCAAGGTCCCTAATTTATTTCAAAAAATATCTGACGTTATTTGAAAGAAGAAAAAAATGAATGGAAGCTATATATAAACTGCACAGCTTATACAATTCACGTTTTTATTCAAAACAATAAACATATATGAATTTGAGGGAGAAAAAAGAAAAATCGACTTTTCAGCCTGACATCATTTTAAATCAATCGATCACGAGGTCAAGGGCTTTAATTTAATTATTTTGAATGAAGCTCATTGGAAAGGGAAATAAAAGTAGATAAAATCTCGTGCCACTGAGGCAAAAAATGTATCTATTTATACGGTCAAAATTATCACATTTTCTTTTTCTTGGTAAGCGTTTACGTATATAATTATAAGGCCTATGTCTTTTTAGTTGGCTCAGGGAGTTGGGAGTTGTGCTTTTCGCATGTCTCTCTCTTTATTTCTCTTTCCTTCGTGGAGGGTATATGGACAATTTATCTCCAATCAATATTCATGATTCAACAATGGTCTTAATACCGAAGACTAAATAGCGATTACGTAATCACGGCCTACCAACGCCATCAACAGTAATGGCGGATATCTATTGATGAGAGACAGCTGAATACATTCTATTGTTATGCTACCTACGTCATGATAATAGATCAAGGACCATACCTGCCTGGGAGAGGGTATTATTTAGATAGAAAGTAAAGTGAGTCAATTCAACCAGTATAACAACGTCACCATACAGTTTCGACCCCATCGGACTTATGCCAAGAAAAAGGGCAACGAGGAAGGGAAGAGAGAGAGAGAGAGGGAGAGAGAGAGGGGGGGGGGAGGGAGAGAGAGATAGAGAGAGAGAGAGAAAGAGAGAAAGAGAAATACAGTTATGAAATAGTCTTTTCTACACATCTCATAATGTTTCTCTAAAAGTATTGTTTCATAATTATAGATGGCGTCGCTTCTAAGGCGAATTATTAAAGTGGGACCGAATCTTCACTAGTAGTGATTAGCAAAGGGCGAATCGATCCGCTTAATGCACGTAATAAGGATTACTAAAGAATATACCTCCAGCGCCGAGATAGCTATGTATTAAACGTCAACGATTAAATTAGATTGATCCGCCGTAATGGTGCTTGCTTTAGTAATTAAATGTACAACCGACAGAAGGCTAAACATGATCAAGCGATTTGTGATGGGTTAAATAGTTTGTCAAAGTATGCAGAAAGTTTCGGAGGCTGTGGTTTATTGGTTTATCTATGGCTTATTCCTACGTCTAGATACATCCGCTATAAGTAAGTGTTTTTTCTGTTTCTGTTTTTATTTATTAATATCGATTATTTTCCTGTCTTATCTGAAAACCTAGCCCTAAAACCAAAGTCTGAAAATTGTGGAAGAATGTCTAGTGACCAAGGAGCATGCTCCATTAACATAATTCCACATCATATATTCTAATATAGTATAGTTGCATTCCGTACATTTTGTAATGAATAAATTCCAAGTTTTATATAAAGTCGATGACATTACTAGTTTCTCTCATCTCAATCATTTAACGAGTTTAACTATTTCTGATAGAAGTACGTGTATACTTTAAATAATTTGCACCCCCGCCAATTATTGGGACATATTTATTTCACAACTTCGCTGTAAGTTATTTCTTTCTTTGCCCATGCTTGCGTGCTGTAGGGTGTTTGTATATATTTGTATCAAATTCTGGACCCCTTGGTGGAACAGCGCCAATATGTTGGTGGATGCTGAGTGTAGGACCATCCAGCCGTTTATCTCTTATAGCGTGTGTACATAATGTGTAATGTTTCGATTCTTTTGTACTTCTTTTTATACGGAAATAAATTCTAATCAAATCAAACTGTTAAAGCCAACTCTTAAACTCAGCATCAGGAGGACATTTTAAACCATGCTTTAATGCCCATCTAGCTTTCAGCAGATATTAAATATCAATTTTTATCAAAAACACTTTCATGTTTACACTAAGCTACACGCTCAAACTTACTTCAAATAATCTGTCCGTTTTCACTCTCATGTATATCAACATGGTGAATTATTGTATCAACGTATGTTTTTTTTTAAAAAGAGGCTTGAAGATAGAAATCGCCACATAAAATAGACCTAATGCATTTGAAATGATTAAGTATGAGAAGACATTGAACTTCATAATGATTCTATGTAGTTAATTTGATTACTACCTTATATTCCTTAACCTGAGGCTTGCAATGTCTTTATTTTTTCTTCTCATTATTATATATATTTATTTTACAGTTAGGCCTCATTTGTATCATTATGAAAATATTTTAACCTTTTGACCTGTTTTTTCTATATCTTTACGTTGCTGTTAACAGGTGTGAGGTTAGCTGGGAGTGGCAGTGAATCAGAGGGGAGGGTTGAGGTGTATTACCAGGGACAATGGGGTACGGTATGTGATGATATATGGGGTGATGAGGAGACCAGGGTGGTGTGCCGCCAATTAGGCTTCACAAGCGACTCTTATTCTACTTTCACCGATGCTTACTACGGACAGGGTTCTGGGACTATCTGGTTGGACGGTGTAGAATGTTTGGGGAGTGAAAGCTCTCTCGAGTATTGCAACCATCTCGGATGGGGTGTTCATAACTGTCAGCATTCTGAAGATGTTGGTGTCAATTGTACCTCAAGTGAGTTCAGATCTTTCTTTATATAATCCATCTCAAAATGTAATCTTTCACGTATTTTCTATGTAGATTTATACCCACATAACCACATAACCACATCGTTTTGTTTTTCTTCTCAAGTAGATCTTTCATTGGATTAATAGTTAATATTCTAAGCTTGGGAAAGGTCGCATGAAACATCATTGATATTATGTACGTCAATATTTAGTTTTAACAAGACAAAAAGAGAAAACTTGATTTAATTTCAAATACAAAATATGTATTCGAGGGTCTTGGCTTATCACATCTGAACCGTGGTCAGTGCCCCCCCCCCCCCCCCCACCCCCACCTTCCACGCCCCGTCTAGCTCAATTGACCAGCGGCCATTCTACGCCACTGTGCTCAATCATTTCAAGTTACCAATCTTATACTGCCACCTTTTTGTCATTATGAAATATTTGTAGCAACTTCTTTTCTCCTTCTCTTATTTATTTCCATGCTGTTTTAATTATTTCATCATGTTTGTTAAATAGCTATATGAATAATACGTATTTCATATATCATACCATGTATTTTAATGTATTTCATGTAGGCCTATTTCATGTATCATCGATGTATCTCAAATTATTCGTTATGTACTATTTCTACAGGGCGTCCTTGTAGAGCAGTAGTCGTGCTGAAGTACACCCCTATATTTTTAATGATACTTTAATAATAAATATATAAAATAGATGAATAAATAAGCAAATAATCAATCTTTTATTCTGAAATAATAGGCGGCATTGCTACTGATACAGTGCGTCTTGTAGACGGCAGCATTCCATCTGAGGGCCGGGTTGAAGTTCTCCACAGCGGACAATGGGGAACAATCTGTGATGATACCTGGGGTATAGAGGAAGCTGAGATAGTATGTCAGCAGCTTGGTTACTCCAGCGCTACCGACGCATTAGCGAATGCGTATTTCGGGGAGGGTGGTGGCGAAATCTGGCTGGATAATGTGCATTGCAGTGGGTCAGAGTCGGGGATACACCTATGTTCTCATGAAGGATGGGGTGTCCATAATTGTCAGCACTACGAGGATGCAGGAGTCAGATGCTTCAATGGTAAGCAAAAGATGGACTCAAAAAATTAAAAGGTTTGGGAATAAGGGTGCCCCTTCCTCAGCTTTTCTACCTCTGGCCAGTTCATGCCCTTGATATGGGGCCTAATGAAAATGATTAATTCCACTGTTGAAACTGCCCATAAACATCAGATCTTTTATTTCTGGGCATTCTTGCGATTTACTCTGATGAGTGCAAGACGGAAAGCTTATTTTCTGCTCTTCGATTGTGTAGCACCAATCATCTCTGTAAAGTGTAATAACAACAACAACAATAATGATAATATGATAATTATAATGATAATTGTCATGATATTAATAATAATGATAATAATAATATCAACAATAATAATAACAATGATAATAATAGTAATAACAATTTTTAAAGTAAACATAATTTTAAAAGTAATAGGCTTAATGATAATAATAACAATATATCCAAGGGTTGAGGCTTCGAATCCCAGCCCGGCAATATTGTCCTTTGGCATGACATCAATCCACATTTGACAATCTCCACCCAGGTGAGTACTAGCAATTCAGGCTGGGGTCATATTGATTGCAGGGTACACAGGTAGAGCAGTATTGAGCCTTATATGGCGACCCTGGGTAAATGAGACAAAAGTAATTTATTAATCATTACTGTAATTCTGAATTATTCTTTACTTTGGACGTGCAGATGAAGGATCGTTGAGACTGGTAGATGGAACAGCAAGTTCTGAGGGTCGGGTTGAGATTTACCACGACTCTGAATGGGGTACCATCTGTGATGATGGATGGGGAATCGAAGAGGGGATAATAGTGTGTAAGCAGCTAGGATACAGTTCAGCTTTATCAGTCCAGTCGGGAGCACACTTTGGTAGTGGATCAGGGGCGATCTGGTTAGATGATGTGGATTGTAACGGGTCTGATGAGACTAGACTAGATGGATGTTCTCGTGGAGGATGGGGGGTACATGACTGCACCCATCAGGAGGATGTTGGTGTTCGCTGTTCTCAAATGATAGGTGAGTCTATCATACGGTTACATGTTGGGGTTTTGGTGGAAAGTTCATAATTTCGAAGTTTCGTTTTTTCTAAGGTTCTTGATTCCGAAGGTTTGTTACGACGATGGTTCGTAATTATGAAATGACTCGAATCATAATTCCGAAAATAAGGGGTTCGTGACTCCGATGACGAAAAAGTTTTCGTGATTCCAAAAATGTAAAAGGGTTCGTAATTCCGAAAATGAAAAATATTTCAAAATGTCGAAGGTTCATATACCTGAAAATGAAATAGAACCGAATCGTATTCGTTATAATGAAACTTTGGAGAATTTTTTCCTTCTCCTTTCCTCAAGCGAGGTTTTTATTTTTATAATTTCAATACATATTAATTACTCAATGATTGGGTGAAAAATAACATTGGCTAAGAATGAAAGTATATTCAACAATTCTTCCAGCTTGTTTGCTAACACATTCAAGCATGTGGGTAAATAACAAAACCTTTGGCAATCTTTTTAACGTAATCATTTGTAAATTGCATATTGCGCATAATTTAAAATGATATTCAGAAGAGAATATTTCTTGTTTACTATGTCCTTACCGACGGAAAAATGAGTAACTCCCTGTCATACGGAGGTTATACAACTCAATCTTACTTTTCAACAACACAATCTTTACTTTTATTTTGCTCGGGCAGAGTTTGAAGTGCTCCTATTATTCTCATGAGTCTGAAAGGTTTCTCAATGTTGAGGTTTCCAAATGTCTGTTTATCAGACTAGCAACAACGAAATAGCGGAAGAAGTAACGAAGATCTTATTCATGATATAATGTTTTAATAGTAATTATGATATAATGAATAATTTTTAAATGTTATTAACTATTCTAATGGTGATATATTGATAATAATCCTAATAACAACTTCCAAGCTATTTAATTATAGCCAAAATATTCATTATAAAACTGAACGATTCCATACCCTTGTAATTTCATTTTCGTCACGTGAAACAAACCGATTAATGTGAAACAAAATTATGAAGAAAATGGCAAATAAATATTGACATTGACTATCTTTGTATACAGCTGAGAACAGTCTTCGTTTGACTGATGGTCATGATATGTCAGAAGGTCGTGTAGAGATCTATCATGACGGTGCATGGGGTACAGTGTGTGATGATGGATGGGATATACCTGAGGCAAAGATCGTATGTCGTCAGCTAGGTTTCCCGGGTGTGGTCAGCTCTCATAGTCAAGCAACCTTTGGTCAAGGTACAGGGCAGATCTGGTTTGATAACGTGGATTGCTCGGGTACGGAGAGCAAGCTTTCTAGCTGCAGTCACAACGGATGGGGGAACCACAATTGCCACCACAGTGAAGATGCTGGGGTGACATGCCAGAAAGCTGTAGGTAAGTAGGCAAGGTTCTAGAAGAAGATTTTTTTTTCCGGTGGGGAAGGGGCTTGAGCCCCAAGGCCTCCTCTGATCACTACAGATGTAAAGCAGACGCTGTTCAACACGATGATTTGGGGCGGGCTTGGGGGCCGCTTTGAGCCTGGAGGGTTCTTGCATTTATTATCTACATGTGGCATGCTTAATAGTTATTAGTCCTACCCCTCGAACCACTACCGATGGTAGTTGTCTACCAATTGGTAGATAATTCCAGATAATATGGACAAGAGATTCAATGAGGTCAATTTGCTCAAATGGGATTCATATAATATCAAGATCGAACCTGTCTTCCTTTTTCTGGTATATTTCATTCCACCAAAATCGAACAGCAACAAAAATGGTAGTTCTTAGTCCTCCTTCACTTATCAATGTATTGTATGTTCTACTTGTGCCATAAGCTATCGGGTAATATTTCATTGAATATTGAATAGATCTTACCTACATTGTGTATATTTAGATGCTGGCTGTTCTGCCTGAATACTGATATCATAAAGGATCTTGCCTATTTCTCGATCTGTTTCTTTATTCCAGGAGATATAACAGGAGCTGTGGCCCTGGTGAATGATCAGGGTAGAAACTGGTATGGAAGGGTGCAGGTCTACTACAATGACACCTGGGGGACAGTCTGCGGCAACCTGTGGAGCTGGAACGAAGCTAAGGTGGTGTGTACTTCACTGGGCTTTGATGACGTAGACAAGTGGATGCTGAATGCTGATGCTGGTGAAGGTCCTATATGGTTGGATAACGTTCAGTGTGATGGCACGGAAAGCTCTCTGGTTTACTGTACGAATGCAGGATGGGGTGTCCATAGCTGCGACCACACCCAAGATGTCGCCATAAGCTGTTACAGTACGTATGCTCAAACAAGTACTTTAAGCTGTTAGGTAAAGGACACGGAGGGGCAGGGGTGCAAGGAACTGGTAGTGCATGTATTGTTATTGTTTCAAGTTTCAAGTTTTCAAGTTTGTATTGTTTATTTATTTCCACACATCTCAAACCATTTTAACACAGTAAGTGAAAAACATAATACAATTGAAAACACAATCATAAATGTCACAGATTATAATATCTTAATAACTGTTATATAATATAGCCTGTACCATCAAATGATGAAAGACAAACAAAAATGTTCTTGTTTGTTTCAAGATGGAGAGAGAGTGTGGGGGACCCATAAGAGAAGCGAAGCTTGTAATATTGTAGGTCCCCTTAAATAACTTACTTACAAATATACAAGAAAGTGTGGCGAAAAGAGAGAGTGTGGCGAAAAGAGAGAGAGAGTGAGAGAAGGAATTAAAAATGTGCATTGCCATTGTGAAACCTCGTGTTATTGGGCTCTAAAACGCTAAGGATTTCGAGAAATTAAAATATCAAATTTATCGGTGCTCCCGGTAAATTTAAAATAACACCTACGGCCATATAATAGTAGCTGCGACCATGAAAATCTCGGAATATGCAGTTCTGATATATAATTTCCAAACGGGAATAGAAAATCGGTCGATATTGGTCGAGAAACAGTGTTTTGAAGTTAACGTATTATCAATCTTGAGAGGGAACTACATGTATACAACATGGAGAGTTTATTATTTACAATTTCATCACTTTAGACTTGATTTCAACCGCGACGACGATCATTGAATATTGTAAGATCGCATTTGCTTCCAATTTGTTCATTTGAACCAAATACATGACCACATACCAAAACTTTGTATTACCTTTAATATGATTGTATACCCCCTCCCCCTCCCCCTCTCTCTCGCTCTCTCTCTCTCCTCTCTCTCTCTCTCTCTCTCTCTCTCTCTCTCTCTCCACACCTTCCTTTATCTCTCATATCTTTTCTTATTTTCCTTCACTTCTCAAACTCTCTTGTCTTCTCTTTCGCAGATCACAGCGGACTAAAAGTGGGTCATATCATTGGTATCCTAGGAGGAGTTGTGAGCTTAGTTATCCTGGCTCAATATTTAAAAACAATCTACCAGAAACACCGATGTTGTACCCGCAGCACGACTTCTACTACACCGATGTCTGCTCCTACTACTACACCTCATCACCCTCATCGCACCCCAATGAACAGAGAAGATAATCCTGGTATTGGTAATCCAGGTTTCAGTGGGAATTACTATTCTCGGCCAGACACAGCCCCTCCTTCATATGACTCAATATTTAAATATTCCACGTATCCTCAAGGCCCACCACCTGATCCTGCCATATTCTCTCCAGAGGGGGGCACCTGTTCCCCTCCACCACCATACTTGCCCCCATCGTCCACCTTGGATGCTTTCACAGAAGAGCCACCTCAGAGTGGTTCCAGAAACTCTAATTATTCACATTCGGCTTCTCCAGACAGATCCTTTACCATGGCGCCTGTCAACTAGTATTCCACTTCGAATAATATTTTTTTAAATATGCTTCCACTTTATAGTGGTTCATCAATTAAGAACTGAAGCTATATACAGGAATAATCTGTTTGAGATATTGTAATGAAATAGGCAATTGCTGAACTCCCAAAGGATTCCTACATACATTAAATGACCAAACTCAAGTTTAAACAGATGTTAAAGAGAAGGTTCATTGATTTAAAAAACTAACTTTAATGTCATTATTGCAAAGGTGACACTTTGATTGGCCAAGGTTATCAAAAGCCAATGCTTGGAAACAATTGAAGTAATGATTTACAAAACGGTTATTTACAGCCCCGACATAGGACCCGAAAAGGCTCCCCGGTCGCTACTGAGATATGACGTCACAATCATGTTGAACATGATGTGCACAAGCAGACGATGTACATGTATGCATGCAATCTCTGCAGGTCTCTTTAAATTTGCCATATGCTCTGTAAAGATGCACTGACATTTGTTCAGCCAGAAAATATAAAAATATGATGTAAACATAAATGTCAAACAGTAAAATCAAATCTGTTGATTGTATCAGTTGTTCCGAGTCATATGCACACTGAATCACACACTGAATTTAGAAAGCTCAATGCCTACTGTGTTTTAGATTTCAGTTTAATATCAATTAAAATGACAGCAATACATGTCATTTGGGAATTACATTTCATTCTGAAGTACTGTTCAATCAAAAATTGTAAACTCTGCTGCATTTACCTTTAATGCTCATAAATTCGTGATTCATGCTTCTATTCAGCAGACCAGATGATAATAAGATATCTGTACGTGCAGTTATTATCATCGGTCTCTCAATGGTTAATCTCAGGGAGATAGCTTATACAAATCCAGTCTCCCTCTGGTAGAAATTTCATAATGCAAGTATTCTAAAGTGAACATTTGGGCTTCAACATGATTTTTTTTTTGTGTATCCCATATTGTAAAATTAATGTTAATGAAAGTCGTTTGAACCACTTTGAATTGAACGAAAACTGCATTGAAGTGCATTGTAGGTCAACGAATCGTTGACTTCTTATAACTTCCAGTTTGACCGTTGTTGGCATTTGTGTGTGGAATATAATATACATACATATGTATGTATATATTTATATATATGTGTTTGTGAACTGTGAATATTTGCAAAACATCTGGAATGTCTTTCAGTTTTTTTCTACCTGCAAAATTCATGTTGGCAGTAATTATGTATAAAAAACGGACAAGATTTTTTCCATATAATGCTGAAAATGATGCCTGGTACAGTAGTTCTATGCACTAGGAACAGACAATATACTTATGCCTCAATGGTACAGTTGTATTTTGTATTTATTGTAGAAGATACAAATTTGAGAGTTATAGATAAGCTAGTGTTGTACTAGTCATCCAGAAAAGGCCTTATTAAAATATGTGTCAGCTTGGAAAGTTGATTGTTTTATACAGATATCACTGATGTTTATATGCTGCAGTTTGTCAAAGGGTCGTTCTCTCTCTCTCTCTCTCTCTCTCTCACACACACACTCTCTCTCTCTCTCTCTCTCTCTCTCTCCATCACACACACACACACACACTCTTTCCTTCTCTCTCTGCCTGTCTGTCCGTCTCTTTCCCTTCTCTCTTTCTCACTATCTCTCTCTCTCTCTCTCTCTCTCTCTCTCTCACACACACACACACAAACACTGTCTTCCTGGTATCAAAGACCATGTACAATTTCGGTAAGCCACAAATATATTTTATGAGATATCTTTGATAATCGTTTATAAATACATGTAGTGAGATAACAATGCCAATCTGCTACGTTCTTTCTCCTAAAGTGAAAGCAATTCAAACCTACCCATGATTAAGATTCCTTTTTCTTATTCTTTCTTCTTTAAAAGTTATTTTCATGTTACATATATCTTCCCCTCGTGGCTCTCATTTAACATGTTAAAAGTTGTCTGAATCCAACAGATGTTCATCCTTAAACTCATACTGTAAAGATCCTGCATATATTCACTGAGCTCTATGGACTCCTGACGACGGATAGTCAACCTGTTCGAAACGTCGAGCTACTCCTGCCACTCATCCTCTCCAAGCGCTATCATTCTTAGAACTATAAGCTAAGAAAGATAACCAACAGTCTTTTTCAAGACTACACCAACAGTCTTTTTCAGGTCAACTACACACCCTCAAGAAAGATTACAGAGAGTCCTTTTCAGGACACCTCAATCCTCCCTCTCTCTCTCTCACATGGTGCACCCGCAAGCCTACTGTATAAGATTCTGGAATGTAAAGCGTATTACACTTTACGTCATCATTAAAAAAAAAAGCGCAGCAGTTTGTCATATCTGAATGAGGCCTAATTGTACATAGACTTTATAGATGAAGTCGAGTTCTGGTCATGCGATTGCATTGTGAAAGAAACGGTGTGAAATCAACCATCTAGCATATAAGAATTTGTGTGTATTGCAAGGTTCTGGAATCATCAAAATGATAAGAAATTTGGCCAAGTCTTGGTAAAGTTACAAACACTTGCACAGAAAGATGTATATGGGACTACACGAACACAAGGCGTAAAAAGCCGCCCCCCCCCCCCCCGATTTTTACGATGTTACATGCATATTTTAGAATATGAAGGCATTTGAAGAGCCATGCTTTTCAGGGAACATGTCTTAACTGACGTTCTTCCACACTTGCATGATAAGAATGAGTAATGCTCACAAATTATTTTTCACCTCTTCCCAGAACTCAACCTTCTCTTTAACCACATCAATATCAAGTGAATACATAAATAATACTAAGTAAGGCAATATTTTGTAAAACAAAATGACAAACATTGACTCATAGCATAGCATTGATCACAAAATGCCTATTAACAAAATTGAATCTAAATCATTTTTATATATACAAAAACATTTGCTTTTAATGGAGACAAAAACTCATTATTTTAACAAGTTAGACAAGGCATGGATAACATAATGAATACGCAATGTACCGTTAATTTGAATACCGGTACACAATGTACTGTTAATTTGAATACACAATGTACTTTGAATTTGAATACACAATGTACTTTGAATTTGAATGATTGTTAGCATCTAAACTCAATCGTTCAGTTTTTTAGCATTCATTTACTATATTACTAAAAAATGGTATCACAACGTCATCATACAAAAAGGACTAAAATGTGGATAAATAGCACAACAGTCTAGCTCTTACAAGTACATATAATACCCTGCTGTGATATCCCATCAACCAACTAAAGACTAGGTGGTCTACACATGTACGTTACTGGATACACTAACCAATTTTATAAAAAAAATCAATTTGGCAAATTGTTGTGATATTGGATTTTGTGAAGTTGCCTTCAGTCCATTTCATTACTAAAATCTTGTTTTTCTTCTAAAAATGCATATTTATTTAGAGGTAGAATTAAGATAAGACATAATTTAATTCACACTTTCAAAATATGATACCTTTCAGGTCGTGAAATTCTTTAAACAAAAATTCAAATAGAAAGTATCAATACAAAATAACTGGTATATAGTTTGGGTAGATTATTGCAATCTTCTTCCATTCATTTATAACAATTTTCTCTTCATGAATTATATCATGACGCGACTTTCCAACTTGACATACACCCTGAAATATAGTGTATAAGATCTCTACTTTTTAAACTGCATAGTGTAGCATGTAAGCTCATTCCAATTAAAGTGAGTCTCCTCTCAGTAATTTTGGCATTCCTTCTTGTCCTCTTTTATTACTTTTTGTACAAAGTCAGAATACAAGAAAAACAAACCTGAAAATATAATTTCATATAAATATAATGTAAAATGTGTCTAGACTCTATACTAAGACTTAGTAAGTAGTAAGTATGGTAACATTTGATGCAAAGCTTCCATTTAAATATCAAGGTATTCAATGTTTGGAGTTACAAAAAGTACATATGCCATAATCATGCAAATCTACTTTGGTTTAAAACATATTCAATGCAAATATCTCCTATAGTACTGATAATAATTATGCATAGAATACATTAAGTAGCAAATTGCTGTCACATATATGCAAAGAACGATAAGTTATACATTTCAAGAAAATATTTTGGTACAGAATTGTTATGTAACACTTCACTTTTATTAAAAGCAAAAACAATTCCTGGAATACATCAACCTAAAGATAAACTACACCTTTGGTTGTAGTCTAAGAAGAAAGAAAACTTGCTTCATTTTCTATTTGCATGCTAACGTTCAGACATTAAAGGTACCGGTAATGCAAAGTTTGGGGAAATTTTGAAAATTGGATGGATAGTAATTCTTCAAAATTTTGATATATTTGGACGCCCCTGTGGATGTATTAAAAGCACTAGAAAATTTAGCACCTAAAACACTTCTGCTTTTGAGAAATTGAATAGTCACAAATTTACCGGTGCTCCCAGTAAATTTCAAATAGCGCCTAAAGCCATTCCATGGTAGCTGCGACCATGAAAATCTCAGAATATGCAGTTCAATGTATAATTTCCAAATGGGAATAGCAAATCAGTCGACTGTAGTCAAGAAACATTGTTTTAAAGTTAAAGTAGTATTGGTCTTGAGAGGGTGCTATACAACATAAAGAGTTTATTATTTACAATTTCATCACTTTAGACTCGATTTCAACTGTGACAAGGATCATTGAATATTGTAAGATCGCATATGCTTCCAATATATTCATTTGGACCAAATTCATGACCTCATACCAAAACTTTGTTTTACGTTTAAGGGTTAATAGACCACCAGGTATCCATTTTTTTTTGTGCTATACATTTTGATAAATAAGTAAAAGGTTGTCAGAAAACATGTGCAAAAATAACTCTAAAACCAACTGGCATATTGACACTGGAAGACAAGGAATATACCTACTGTAATACAAATATTGGTAATGCTTGGAATACAAAATCTTGGTGGGGTACATCTAATTTCTACCATCCTGCATTTAAGATTCCAGTAATAGTTTTCTCAGAATTCATCTTTATATCTCCATGGATACATTGTCTTTACCTTCAGCTGTATCTCCTGAAAAGGCTGCATTTGAATAAGCATTGTCATCTGTATGGAAGGGTGGAGGATCCCTTCCACTAGGGGCATGGCTATTTCTGGAATTCTGTGTCCTTTGATTACTGGTAGATGCACCATCGTCTCTAGAGTATCCTGGAGCGGCATCCCTTGAGGGAGGGATGCTACTGCTCTGAGATGCTGCTGAATAACTAGGAGGTTCAGATGGTAGATTAAAACCTACAGATACCAGGTCTGGAAAAGGGGAAGAGAGGTACCCCTCTGGTTGTGAAGGACCGGGAGAGATGGGTGTGGCAGGGGTGCGGGCAAACTCTGATGAGGATGATGAAGGACCTGCTGCTGCTGCAAGATTTATTGAGTGTGGTTCCCTGACTAGATTTCCCTGGAAGATAGATTGAGGGGTATAGCTTGAGATCATTTCATAATCAGGTGGTGGTTCTGATGGCATAGGGAACGGTGCTGGAGGGTACGCATTGGACGGTGTTGGAGGGTACGCATTGGACGGTGCTGGAGGGTACGCATTGGGCGGTCCCAGAGGAGAACGAGGAGGAGGAGAGGAGTTGACATGCATAGTTTGACCATAGCTGTTATAGAACACATTCTGATTGATGGAATACACCTGCGGTGGTCTGGGACTGGATGGTGGTGGTGAGTTCCATTGTGATCCTGAACGCCGAGGCTCGGTGGTCTCTGGCTTACGGGTCCTCCTGCTGTAGAAACAGGTCACTGTCACCATGACAATAACAAATATTGCAATACATCCTGTTGCTATGGAAACTATGGCTCCTTTAGATAGACCGCTCACTGGGAACACAAGAGGAAAGAAAAAAAATCATGTCAGTTTATAATTTTTGACAGTGCATGGAGAAAGTATTTTTTCACAAAAATTAGACCTACAAAAACACAAAAATCTCAAAATAGAAGAATCAGAGATTACATGTCAATGCACAGAGATGTAATGAAGCAGCATACAGAGGTTCAAAATAGGGACCTATTTAACAATTACAGAGCTAAATGACGCCTTTTACAGAGGTATAAGGGCATTTTTTATTAGCTCCAAGACAAATGCCGAAATTGCTGAGCTCCCTGGTGTGAGTGGACGAATAGCAAAGATGTACATAGCATACAGTATATCTTGAAAAGAAAATGAATTGTATGCCGTAGAGAACACTCACCTGTACCACCTCTTCTGCAAACGATGCCTACATCCTCTGTGTGGGCACAGTTATGCTCTCCCCAACCGTTATGACTGCAGTACCTGATAGAGCTCTCACCACCTTCACAATGAACATCATCTAACCAGATCCGCTCTTCACCCGTTGGATAGGTGGCCTTGTGGTCTTCCACTCCTACGAAGCCAAGCTCCTGACATGCTACCTCGGCATCGACTTCATCCCAGGAGTCATCACACACCGTTCCCCATGAACCCTCAAAGTAGATCTCTAGACGACCTCCACGCGAATCACTGCCATCCACCAGACGGATCTGAGAAGAACCTGAGTAGAGAATGGGGTGATTATTGAGTTATTACAAACCATTACTTTATCCAAGTATTATACAAACTCAAGAGAAAATGATGCATGTTCTTGTCATTTATAAGATTAAACGGAGGTACTGAAAAAAGACAGACAACATTGTAGATCTGACAGTAACCAAAGGATACTTCAGCCATATTATACCAACCCATGTTCTTCCAAACTCAACTATCCACCTGATGAAACAAATTGACTATTTATTTTCAAATGTTTTACAGCCAAGATTTCTATTTTTAAATCTTTGAAAGACATGAAGACAAACAGTGTCATAATCACTTTATTTGATCACCAGTGGCAAATGGGATGCATGGAAGATCAACCAAAGTAACATATGATTTACTTCAAACATACCATAAACAACCCTGCTCTGCACCTATATCATTTGGCCCATACAGTACGTGTAACGTTACAGCAATAACAGATAGGAACACTGATCTCCTTAACATAAAATGAAATTATGTGTTCTTTCTGTCTTATTTCAAACATCATACTGAAAGGAACTTTACATTCATGCATTCTTTCTATCACACTGTCTTATTTCATACATTAAACTGGATCAGTAGATAACTTTGATTAGTTCTATTCCTCACATTGTAGTATATTCTACCTGATGCTTACCATCATCTGTGCAGATCACACCTGCATCTTCCGTATGTTCACAATTATGGTCTCCCCACTCGCTACTGGGACAGGTGAAGATAGACGGCTCGGTCCCGTCACACATAACATCGTCCAACCATATCACACCAGAGCCTCCCCCAAAGCTAGCCTCCAGTGTGGCCTTCTCAGCGTTGGTGTAACCAAGCTGTCTGCAGATCACCCTAGCATCATCTATGTCCCAATCATCATCACATATTGTTCCCCATTCATCGTTGTAGACGACCTCTACACGACCTTCTGAAGCTACGTTGCCATCGACAAGACGTATGGTGTATGAGTTATCTGTAAAGAAATGTATAGAAATAAAATGTCTTTAACATCAGACTCTGACATAGTGTCCATTATCATAGGTATACAAAGAAATCAGACAGTATACTCTTATTTTTTGGCTCAAAAACTGCTACTTCATCTATTAGTAGTTCCTTTCACGAGTTTGCTTGGTAGCTTGATAAACAAAACATCAAATTAAATTTCCTGATTTTGTGTAAAGAAATGCATTTATTATACGGCTTTGCTTGAATTACTTCATTCACTAATAAGGAGTATATGTATCCACATGATTTTCAATGAAAGAAATAATAGGTATGGCTAGCATGCTCTATTCATGTTGTTTGTATTCTTACATTACATGTTAAACCACAACAATGCCACAGAATACAAACATGTCACCCGTTCTACTATGTGACACAAATGTACATACATTTTCATAGTTCTTCTCCTTAAGCTATGTCATATAATGCCTAAGCAATAACTGAAATTTCAAGAAGAAACAAAAACTGCTTTGTCATGTAATACCAAATAAAATATCAGAATTTATCCAGTGAGCGGTTTGAACTGCCTACTGCACTGCAAGTATTAAACTTGCATAATGAGTGGGTTCAACTAGAAGCAATTCAGACACAAAGCGACATGCTACCCAGTTCAGGCGCTCTGAATAGAATTACGTCAATTCTCCTTCATGCCTGACTAACCCTATTGAGTATGAGAACTTTACAGGCCATTCTGCACTCTCTCTATACCGTGGCACACCTCCCTCCGTACCAGTCATATTTGTGCATAGTACAATTCAAAAGACTTTTTTTCATTCATATGCTTGCTTTGAAACAAGTGAGCGAGGGAACTGAAGTCAGTATCAAATATCAATATAAGGAGATATCATGGGCTCAGAGCCAGTAGGGTGTGGCTACATGCCTGCAAGAAGGCCATTAATGCCCTTTTAAAAGGCTTTATGAAAATATGTTCTCATTATACTGTGATTATTCAGACACTTTAAAATGATTTATGAAAACAATGTTCGTATTATATTTTATTCTTGGGAACCTACAAAAAACAAGCTATGCTTTCCGGTAGGTTCCTGTTTCATTTCATAATTTTGAAGTTACTTCGTCAACTATGTTCTTTATTGTGCAAACAATTGATATATATGAAATGGAATAAATTAGAATCAATCAATCAATCAATACCACACATAGCTCTTATGACATACTGCCCTTCTGGCTTTCAATAGACCATGTACATGCTCCAGCGGGTTCTAGATACTCAGGAATGTATCAAGGTCACTAAACTCAGAACTATACTAGCTGACTACCCATGCTTATGGAATATTGTCTGATGTGGTACAGACAGTGGGCGTTACCACTTTACATGTTCTAATTAAAGGTAAAGACCAGTTATGGTCATGCGATTGCATTGTGAAAAAACAAAGTGGAATCGATCAGAAAAGGTTGATCATCTAGCATCTAGCATCTGCAAGGTTCTGGAATCATCAAAATGACAAGAAATTTGGCCCTTTCTTTGTAAAGTTACAAGCACTATACACAGAAAGATGTATATGGGACTACCCTATATCTCTCACAGACCATGAGAGAAACAAATTTACCAAATATATGAATTAGTAGGCGGTTTCCCGGCAAATTTTTTATCATCATGTATTAGTCAAAACATATTCTTTCACATGATTGGTAATAAGAGCTTCCATTTCATTTTTTGAAATCGGGGCGTTTCCAATACTGGTCTTTACCTTTAAAGGACAGAAATTCTTTTAACCATAACAATTCTAAATGACATTTAGCTACTTATACTATCTACTCCGGGACTGCCTCTGCCCCGCCCCCCCCCCCACACCTAAATAATTATAACAAAACAGATACAACTCATGAAAATGTATGTAATTGTCAAACATACTGGTATAAATTATTAGACTAGTAATAAGGTTATGATGCAAGCTAAAAGAAAGTAAAACACTTAATGACTTAGAGAAGCAAATATTCTTGTTTTCAATCATTCATACAAAGAAGACTAAGTTCATTTAAATGTACAGTGTATACTGGTATCGTTAATTCACTAGAACTCTCTATTCACTACTTTTACAATAAGCCTATAATTGAATTGAATTTAATTGAAATTTATTGTCCCTTTCAGGAAATTCTTTTTTCACTGGTTTTACAGTCATTGTACATGTACATAGTACAAGAAGAAATACATAATACAATAATAGCAAATGTACATCGTCACAAACATAATAACATTCTGAAAATGATTGTTACATTGGAAACGGAACAATATATATATTGACTGCAGTATAAACATAAACATAAACTGCATCTAATGTTACCATTTCAAGTGAAAATTCAAACATTAAGCTTACTGTTTATTTGAAAACGTAGGTAAGTTTAGTATTATGAGCCCTAACAAAAATTAAAATCAGAACAAATGATATTAAAGTTGAGACATTGAAACACACAGGGAAAAGCTTACCTGCAGTCTGGCATATGACTCCTGCGTCTTCATTGGTTTGGCAATTATGCATCATGAAGCCATCATGAAGACAATCAGTTAGGTTCAACTCTGTTCCCATACACTGGACATTATCAAGGATAAAACGTCCATTCCCAGGACCATGTGCAGCTGAGACCGTTGCTTCCAAGGCATCCCTGTAACCAAGCTGTCTACAAACAACCTGTATATGGACAGAAGAAAAATATACTCAAAATTTGTGTTTGTTTGTTTTGTTTTGTCTGTTTATTTGTTATGTCTGTTCCCAACTCAATGGGCAGCTGAGACCGTTGCTTCCAAGGCATCCCTGTAACCAAGCTGTCTACAAACGACCTGTATATGGACAGAAAAGAAATATACACTGAATTTGTGTTTGTTTGTTTTGTTTTGTCTGTTTATTTGTTATGTCTGTTCCCAACTTAATGGGCAGCTGAGACTGTTGCTTCCAAGGCATCCCTGTAACCAAGCTGTCTACAAACAACCTGACATGGACAGAAGAGAGACATACACTGAGTTTGTGTTTGTTTGTTTTGTTATGTCTGTTTGTTTGTTATGTCTGTTCCCAACTCAATGTGCAGCTGAGACGGTTGCTTCCAAGGCATCCCTGTAACCAAGCTGTCTACAAACAACCTGATATGGACAGAAGAGAGACATACACTGATTTTGTGTTTGTTTGTTTTGTTATGTCTGTTTGTTTCTTATGTCTGTTCCCAACTCAATGTGCAGCTGAGACGGTTACTTCCAAGGCATCCCTGTAACCAAGCTGTCTACAAACAACCTGATATGGACAGAAGAGAGACATACACTGATTTTGTGTTTGTTTGTTTTGTTATGTCTGTTTGTTTCTTATGTCTGTTCCCAACTCAATGTGCAGCTGAGACGGTTGTTTCCAAGGCATCCCTGTAACCAAGCTGTCTACAAACAACCTGATATGGACAGAAGAGAGACATACATTGATTTTGTGTTTGTTTGTTTTGTTATGTCTGTTTGTTTCTTATGTCTGTTCCCAACTCAATGTGCAGCTGATACGGTTGCTTCCAAGGCATCCCTGTAACCAAGCTGTCTACAAACAACCTGTATATGGACAGAAGAAAAATATACTCAAAATTTGTGTTTGTTTGTTTTGTTTTGTCTGTTTATTTGTTATGTCTGTTCCCAACTCCATGGGCAGATAAGACTCTTGCTTCCAAGGCATCCCTGTAACCAAGCTGTCTACAAACAACCTGATATGGACATAAAAGAATATACACTTGGTTCGTTGTTTTTTTGTTCGGCAGTAAGAATGTCAGGTACCCACATTTTCATTTCCGTTCATGAAAATTGAAGAAAAACAAACTTAACAAGGCAGTCAAAACACTAGATATCAAAGTGTTAATAATTAACAAAATTAGAACAAAGAAAAAATAAAGTCATGTTAACCAACATGAATCCATAAATTTAAAACATGATGGTAACAGAAATACAAAACCATGATGACTAACAGAACAAAATATGGAGAAGGTAGTAAAGAGAAGAAGATAAACAAGAGGGAAACGGAAGAGACGGTGAGCATCAGACAAAGAAAAAAAAAAGTGTATAATATTTGACAGAATATTATCCATTTTCAGATATTTATTGATGAATAAAAAGAATATGATATTGAACTTACCCTTGCGTCTGCTAAGTCCCATAGATCATCACACACTGTACCCCAAGCGCCATCATAGAATACTTCTACTCGCCCTATTGATTCCACATCTTCTCCAACAAGGCGAATATCAACTGAAATCAAACAAGAGACAAGATCTCATCCTAAATATTTTCTCCTGTGATTACAATGAGGCAGATAGATTTCATGTAGTTTGACAAAATTATTGATTGAATGCAGTATTCCAATCAAACTGGTAATTGTTGAGCATTTGAAGAGAAAAGGAAAAAATTGAGAACTTAAAAATAAGCTGATTTTTGGTAATGAAAGGAAATAAATTATTATAGAATCGAACAAAACTTACACTGAATCATTAAGATTACACATAAATGTAACAAACAATTTTGGCAGAAAATGTATAGGGGCTGAGTAATGAGCATGCATATATAGAAAGATAAGGAAATCAAGGTAATGATACTTGTGTTTTTTGTTGAAGATGATTTCCAGCAAGTTTTTGTGAGGTTGTTTTTATTTTACTGGTACAAACAATCAATCTACTGCAGGATAAACAATCCAGAATAAATTATAGCCACGTTCTCTTGGCATAAGATGCCCATACCACAGCTCAAGATTAGCTTTAACTAACTACTTTTAACAAAAATATGTGAAGAGGCCAAAGAAACAGTATTAAGGGATATTAAAAGAGGGACATTCATATACAAATTATCTATGAGACTTTCAAATAATGTTTAATTTTGCGTCAAGTCAAAAACTTGCATAAGATAGTTTTATCTCTACGATGCAGAGAAAGATAAAGATTGTTTGCAGTGTAAACTGTAAACAGTATAGATTACAATCAACATGGAACTCAAGCACTAATACTGTACAATGATGTTTTATCTCGGCAAACCAAAGGCATAATTGTTTGCTGAGCAAATTTACTCAGAAAAGGGTAGTTCTTCTAAGTACATACTTCAAGTTTATGCTGTACACTATAGGGTCATTTACTGAAGTTTTCAAATTACCCATGTACAAGTAACCATGCCTATTTAGGGAGTATTTCAAATGTTTCCATCTGAAACTTAATATTCAGGTAATGAACTTCAATACCGCTGATGTATAATATGAATGAGCATTGATTTTACTCAAATCTAGAATTCAGATTATTATGGTATTTAGACAATCATACCATTTACCAGTAGGGTTTTTTGTCCTATACTTATATGCCCTTGTGTTCTAAACACGCCATGAAATAGCAATGTTAAAAAAAGTTTAAAGGCAAAAGCTTAACAAATTAATAAAACTAGATTAAAAATCAACTCACAGGATACAACTTGATTTTTACAAGACAGATTTTCCATAGATCCCTGCAAAAGTCTTAGTATTCACCACAGGGATGTAAGAACATAGCTCTAGCAGTCATCCAAGAATGTGCAATGAATTGTTTTACTTACATTTGGTTTGGTTAGCACACATGACCCCAGCATCCATGTCATGCGTACAGGTGCTTCCTGACGTACCCCACAGACCATGATAACAATCATTAAGCTCATGCTCCCACCCCTCGCATCGGACCTCACTCAGAGCAACAATACCAGAGCCTGGCTCGTATTCTCCATTCATAGCTGCCTCTGTAGCACCGATGTACCCTAGCTGACGGCAGATCACGTTAGCATCCTGGATGTCCCACTGCTCGTTACAGATGGTGGCCCAAGTTCCGTTGAAGATGACCTCTACACGACCCTGGTTCTGGGCTCCACCATCGACAAGTCTGACGATATGGTCTGTGAGGAACAAGAAACATATTAATCATCATCCTCTTCATCATCAACATCATCATCATCATCATCATCATCATCATCATCATCATCATCATCATCATCATCCTCATCATCATCATCATCATCATGTAATCATTATCATAATCAATGTCATTATCTTTAACATTTTCATCACTACCAGTATCATAACAAAAAGATATACAATCATCATCATCATCATCATGTTGCAGAAGAAAGAATTGAGCCATTAAATCAATGGCTTTGAATTGAGCAATCCAGCCATATTCTTTTTTAATAATTGTGATTATCTTTTTAAAATAGTAAGTGACATTAAAAGAGGGACATAGATGAGACTTTCAAATAATGTTTAATTTTGCAACAAGTCAAAAACTTACATTTATAAGATTCATTTTCATAAGTATTTATGTATGTTTCTTTATACAGAAAATAAGACAAACCGAAACAGAAGGTACATAATTCATCTAGCCCCTAAACCTACCTTCAATATCACACTTGACACCTGCTACCTCAGCCATAGTGCAGTCATGTACGAACCATCCCCGATGTGAGCACATATCCAATGTACCTTCATTCCCTTCACAGTTCACATCATCTAACATGATAACACCGTCCCCTGTTCCAAAGACCGCATCCCCTACTGCCTGGAGCGCCCCCGTGTATCCTAGCTGCTTGCACACTACTGTAGCCTCACTAATGTCCCAGGAATCATCACAGATAGACCCCCAAGCTCCCTTATAGTTGATCTCAACCCGGCCTTCGTAGTCCGTTGAACCACCAACTAATCGTACCTTGTACTGGTCTGGAATGGACAATACAAACAACAATAATTATATGATTATAGTTAAGACTCCAGAGTATATTTTGTTTCATTCTCTCCTCTTCAACAATTCTTCTCATAACTACAATCTAAAATGTGTTACAAACCAATGATCAGAATTTACATAGGGAAACCAAGAACTAAATATTCAAAACTCAAACTTTAAAAAAAAGATTTGTTCATAATAATTATATCAACATCCTGTCTGAGACCTCTGCCCATTCTCCTTTCACTGATATTTGAATAAAAAAGTAATGGAAGAATGAACACTGTAAAACATGTATATTCCAGGTAGGAAGAAAAAAGTTGAATAAAGTTAAGGACAACCTTGAAAATGAGCAGAGAAATAGAATTTCTTACCACTTGAATAGCAGGAGACACCCACATCCTCACTATGTACACAGTTATGTATCCTCCATCCTCTATTACCGCAAGATGCCAAACTCTCCTCGTTACCGTTGCAGCGCACCTCATCAAGCCAGATGTTCCCCATCCCTGCCCCAAAGAAAGCTTTAGGAAAGAAGTCGATGGCGCCCACGTAACCTAGCTGACGGCATGCCACGTTCGCTTCCTCGATACCGAAGTCATCATCACATACGGTACCCCAAGCATCAGAGTGAAAGATCTCCACTCTCCCTTCGGCATCAAACTCACCACCTACAAGTCGAATTTCTGAGGGAAAATAGAAGCAAAATGTGGAGAAATAGTGAGAACATTGAATTAATTACTTCATACAACCAGTGTCAAGTATACCTATGTTAAACCTCCAGTCATGTACATTTATAATGACATTTGACCTCAATCAGGACGAGAATATGGCATCTGCAAGAATCTTCAGTATTGAAGGAGGCAGATTATCTTGAAGAAGAAGAAGAAGACTATTTGCATTGTACATGTATTTTCCTTAAATTTTGCAATGATAGTTTTTAACTTTTGAATGTCATAAACATATTACACTGTAAATACAAATACAAATAATAATAATAATAATAATGATAATAGTAACAATCTATTTCTAAATTTGAAAAAAAATGCTGATAACCTTATGAGACTTCACTTCCCATGTTTATTTGAATTCTTTCTTTTTTTAATTCTTCTATTGAGGGGGAGGGATAATCACTGTAATGCTTTCTTTTGCACCCAAAATTAAGCAGGTACAGAACAATTCCCTGCAAAATATATTACATGTCTGTCTTGGGTACAATATATGGGATTGCATCACTCACTTGACTGCTTTATATAAAAGGAGTGATATTTGGGTAAGAGTTTAGAATTGTTTGCATAAGACTACATGTACATTACACGAGACTTTAATTCTGTTCTTTGGATAAAAGTTTGCCAAGAACAAGGGTAATTATTTGTCCAACCAATGTTGGGCATCTTTTCCCAACCAATGTTGGGCATCTTTACCCACCTTGAGTAATGTATTGTCCAATTATGGTAAATATGTAGAATAGTTACCTCCAAATAGGCCAAATCATAACTACCCCTGCGGCACATTTTTACCCAGTATTCATGACAGGTAACATATTATGCAAGTTACATGCAAGTTCTTTTATTTTTGTTTGTGATTGACACAGTATTTGGTACAGGATCTATCAAAAATTCAGAGGTTATAATAGCATGTGCATGATTGCTAAATTTTAGGATCCAAACTTCTATCACTAAGTTCCTGAAAAACACTTTCAGATTCAGAGGTTATAATATCATGTGCATGATTGCTAAATTTTAGGATCCAAACTTCTATCACTAAGTTCCTGAAAAACGCTTTCAGACCAACAAAGGAAAGTGAATGAGAAGAAAGTGAAGGAATCCCTGAAGTCTAATCCTCTTTCTAACAAAATGGGTTATGCCTTTCTGACCCACAATGAAGGCATACAATTGTAAGCTGGCTCTATTACGTGTACACATGCATGGAGAGGTAGAATAGGAATAGTATTCACACAATAATCAAACTCTACTTTTGAGGAATAGAGTTAGATCAATACCATTACCAGCTCATGGATGGGTGGGTTCTTGAAGTAAACAAGGGCCATTGAATCTTGCAGGTGCCATATTTACTGCAAGGTTCACATTATTTGTTGAAAATGTATGTGGTTCATGGGAATGTTATTAAAAAAATAGCAATCTTTACATTGTTACCTTAAAATGGAAAATGATGTTTAAGTTTAAAAAGTAAACTGAAAAAAATCTAGTTCAAACCTTTATAGCTATAAAAAGCATTATGCCAAAATGATATCTCATGACTGAAATGCTGTGTAGGATATTAACGTTTTGCAACTGTAATGTTATGAGATGAGGTTATACAACATACCTAATTTGAACATAATTTATGTGCTCATTATGAAACAGTCATGCATAAATTCATTATAATATGAAGCCATCATGCAGAAAGCACTCATCAATACTCTTGGCACACACAGTGTGTGATGTGTTCAATGAGTTAATTAGCTACATGTATGCACACATTCAACCCCCATACACTGCTGTATAGTGGTATGTTGCACTTGACCACTAGCTTGCAAAGCCTATATGCTTTAGCTTCAAGAATAAACTCCTAAACCTCAAGCAAAAATATTTCTGGACCCACCTACATTTAGTTAATTACTTACCAATAAATCACCTCAACAAAACCACTATTTTTACAGCAACCTGAAACCTTACGTATTCAATGTAAACATGCATTATTTCATTCTACCTTGGAGTCTGACTGCAAGGCACTGTTCAAAAGACTAACACAAAACCATCCTTTAATTAAATTGAATCAAACTGAATTTCAATGATTTGCTAAAATTTGTAATAATGTATTACAATCAAACATTTCACTGCATGAAAGCTTTCATGAAATGATACTCCCCAAATTCAAAAGTTAATCATTCTACTAATGATAATTAGTAGTAATAGTAGTACTACTATGACTGTCATTAATCTTATTACTAGTACTATTAGTACTATTAATAATATTACCATATTATTAGCAATAACAATATTGTTTATTATATATTATTATTATTATTATTATTAATACAATATATAATACTAATACTAATGATAATAATAATAATAACAAAACTGATAATAATAATAATGATAATAATAATAATAACAATGTTATTTACATTCTATTGATAAATATTATGATTACTGTTGCTATTAATCATTTTCATTTTCATTAATAATGAACCTAAAGTGTGTTTTTTCAAAAAAAAGATGTAAAAGTAAAGTTTATGTAGAGACTTATTTGTAATTTGTTTTCATTTTATCATGGCTGAAAAGAAATTAAGCATAAATGGCTCCTAATGCTAACATTGTCTATGACTTTAACTCATATCTGTAATCAAATCAGTATTAATACGACTAAGAACACTAACACAATCATATATTCATTTTAAAAAGGCCATTATTTGTAGAGTAATCTACACAACTTCAATGTACAATGCATGGCGAGAAATAATGAAATTTGTGACAAACAGAACCGAACCCGCTGAATCCTTTTCACATAATTGAATTGTTTCATACAAGTGAAATGTTGATCATCACTTACCCTGCGAGATGACAGTTGTCATAATGACATGAAGAAGAAGGAACAATATCTCCTTGCTTAACACAATATTTTCTCTTCTCATTTTAGCTTCTCTCCAGTCATTCCAGATAAAATAAAGCTGCCAAATGTTTCGTTGCTGGTTGTGCTACCAGCGACTGGGTCCAGCAAGAGCGGCTCCACAGAACTCTATCGCAAATACATGATCTCAACGTTAAAGAATGCGGGATTCTCATGGAACAGCAGGCCGACGCTCTCCCATGAAGGCATGGGATGCATACCCGCCGATCGATGGCACTTTACGCTTGGTATGCAAGGCGAAGAAATATAGATTTCTTCTAGTTATATGTCCTGCAATTCATGATGGCAGTTGATGAACAATCTATTGAATACTTTGTTAGGTTATCCTTGATGTGGATTAGATTCCAGGAATATTGATCCAATGTTGAATGAATGAAGGAGCTATTAAATATACGGCAAAATCTAATTCTGACAGTTCATGGGTACAGTAGAGACACAGGTGTGTGTAGCATGCGAAATGTAGGAAGTCCATGGTATTACCGCATAATCTCTATACTACTTTCTCACACTCACTGCATACATTGCACACAACATCATCGGGGCTCTCACTACCAACCAACGATACCGGCATTCCTCAACACACCCAAGGGATCAATGCCTGGTGACCTGAAATGCACTTTGACAAGTCTGCATTATGAATATGAGCTAGGCCTAGCAGTATGGTTTGGGTATTAAAATTCATTATCCTGCTATAAAGATAATGATTTATTTGTATTGGTTTTATCCATACGCATTGCATCTCCAAAAAGACAACCTCGACGCATTTTAATTTCTTCCAAGGTTTCTCAAAAAGATATGAATTTGAAGTGTCTTTTGATTGTTTTGTATTTTTATCAGATTGTGGAAATATAAACTTGAATTGAATTGAATTGAATCTTTCTGTCTTTTTCTTATCTCTTCCCATGTAATGATTATTACAATTTGATTTAATTCTTGATATATAAAGGTTATAAGCTTCTCTGAACTTTGTTGATCAATCTATATAACTCTACTGATATCCATTTGTAATGTTTGTTTTGGAGAATTGAAAAATAAAACCCAAATAACATGTATCCAAATAATCCAAATAAATATCCATCTTAAAACTTAATATAAATATCTCTAATAATACACTTCAGACGCAAAATTGAGAAAATGTTAACTAGTTTAAAGCATACTAACACATGTGATTTTCAGATCTTTACACAAATTCTGTCTCACTAGGCCCCTATAATGCGATTCTCTCTCCCTGCTTTTCTTTACTTTCCTTTAAATCTCTAATAATTATGCATGGAGGGCAGCTGAAGAATTTAGAAATGAATTTAGTTATGGACACAAGGCAAAAACACCCTCAGATGAAAACAGTTACTACTCTATAATACTGAAGAAGTTCACAATAATAATTCTCTTTCTCTCTCTCTCTCTCTCTCTCTCTCTTTCTCTCTCTTGGCACACATATACTTTTGTTTTGAATATTATTTATTGTGCTTCCATTCAACAAATTCATAGAAAATAAAATTATTATATTTTTTATAGATCATACAAAAATAAGCTGATACGTTGCGAATAATATTACAAAAAATGAACGAATGGAAACAATAGAACATTTAAAATAAAAAAAAACTCCCTCTGCTCCTAAAACCCCCTCCCCCTAAAAAAGCCCTCCCCTCCCCAAACCCCCAAACAAAACACCCATAAAACCCGCAAATCCATTCCATAACGATGAATGGAAACATGGGGACACTGTTAATATACAAATAATCAAGAAATGGAACAATATAAAATTAAATTAAAGTAAAAAACATAATATAATCCATCATACAATGAGTACTTATATAGTTCCTATATCTTCCTTTCGTTGCTGTTCTTTTTATTTTTAGGCGTGTATCGTTTAATTGTGAATATAAATTTACGCCTAATTCTATTCGCATTAACCAAAGGAAGTAGAAGAAAGAAAACAAGTCTATATACGCTGTTTAATTCTCCACAATTTATGGAGGCCCCTCCAATACCAGCCAAGACTATGCGATGTCAAAATGCATTATAATTTAAACTGATAAACAGGTTTCAAAATCTCAAATTATGCAGACAGTCAATCTGGGCTTTGTGCAATGTGCAGTTAGTAATGGGACATACCTTTCCTTAATTTTAATAAAGTACAATACGTTACATACGACCTAAGGTTAGCTGGGCCTAATATTTTATCTTTTTATCCTGTGACCACCAAATTGGCCTCAACTCAAGGGACATAATTATACTAACCCCTCCCCTAAAGACCCCTGACCACCCCCATCTCCAATCATACTTGGCACCACCCTGCCCATCTATCCCTTCCCGTTACACTTTTTTTTTTTATTTTTTTTTTTTTAAACAATTTTGTTTTATTTCTCCAGATGTGTAATACAAACCATGACATACAATTGAATAAAATATACGTGTTCAATATTGATGCTTTTACATAAACATAATTAAACACAAACTTATTTGCAGTATAATATAACTTAGCAACAAAGTAAACGTATAAGTACCTAAACATAATATGTCAATTGTAAATGTTATTTACTTATATATTACCAAAAAAAAATTAAACAAATCTGGAGGTAATTTTACTGAAACAATCCTGCCCCCTCCATCACACAAACATACTCACCCTCTATCACACAAACATACTCACCCACCCACACACATACTCACCCACCCACCCATCCACCCCCCCCCCCCCCACACACACACACAGTACTCACTCAGTGGATGTCTGCCAACATTCTCAACTCAAGAAAAATATACTAAATAAGTTATCCAGGCCGCAAAATCGAGTTACGCTTTTAACAGGCTCACGGTGGAGAAGAAAGCAAATCTTAATTAATCTTAAGCTGCTCCCACTTTAAGAAATGTGATCCTAGCTTACCCATTTTAATTGCTATTTTCTTTTCCTCATCCCTATACTTAAAAATGCTTTTTTTCATCTTTTCTAAAGTTAGTACTCGCCCCCCCCCCCCGATCTTGACATAAATGTAACATACTTCACCATGAAAATGATAGTATTACACATTTTTATTCTATATGAACTACCTACCAACCCAACAAAATTCTCGCCATTCTAAATCTTTAATTTCATCTAACTCAAAAAGTTGTATTAAAGCCTGCCATATCCTTTGAACGCTCCCACAAGATAAAAATAAATGTTTGTATGTTTCTATTTCCTGCTTACAAAACGAACATAAATTATCATCAACAAAACCAAATCTATGAAGATGCTCATTAGTGTATATGGATGCACACACACAAACGCACGGGAATCCTGCTCACTGAAAGTAAAAAACATACACACGCACATCCTCTTAACCTCTTAACAAACACACGCACATCCTCTTAACAAACACACACACACACGCCCAACACACACCCACACGTTCTCTCTCTCTCTCTTTATTGTTATTGCATGTAAAATAAATACAAAGTCCCCTCGAAAAAATGTAATGAGCATTGAATATTGTGATACCTTAGTTCGAATGGATTGATGTTAAAAAAAACACATTGTATAAACATTGTTTGCATGAACATAAATATTTAATGACCGGGAATTCTCATCATCGCAACATAAAAGTTGCATTTTGAATTAGTTTCGTCTGATGTATTTAATCGAAACTGTAATACAATGAAACACAAACAGTCTATTCTAGATCAGGATGAAAAATGGAAAAATGAAAATCCTCATAGTAAAAAATTAGTTATAAATTGCGCCTTAAACTCAATTATTAATAAACAAATTATAGGTTAATGAATTTCTTTATTAGAGTAACGTATCATACATTATACATGAGTGTATGCACCTTGAACTACTTATGACCAGAGAATCCCAATGGTTTGAACAAAAACAGTTAATGATAATTATAATGTTAGTAATAATAATACAAATAATGTTAATAGGGGGGTTCTTGTATACTGCTTATGTCTGTCAGACTCGACTCTCATAATATAAGAAAATAACACAATTTTAAATATATTTGCCACCATAAACATCTTTCAGTCGACCCAAACCATTTTTCTCTATCTTTAATAACTTACTGGCCTCTGTCATGACTGTTTTTCTGCTCTTATCACTGTTACAGTGGGAAATTAAAAATGAATACCTATGTATTCTATCTTGTCAGACAGAAATCCACAAGGCCATTAGGGAATTGCCTGATTAATATGCTAAATGGGTTAATTATGCTAGTAAGGCTAATTATTTTTCGTTCACGAGATTAACCTCTTAGATAAATATTGGTTGTCATAAAACAAAATTCACATTAAAATTGTCATTCCAAATTTGTCTGGATAAAACTATACCTATATCAATAAATGCAAATATGCAAATTTACTCATTATGCTAATTAGGCAAATTGTACATGGAATATCTTCTCATTAATTAATGTGTTGTCCTTACAATGTTGCATTGCACCATTTTCAGGCTTTTTAGATATTGAGAATGAAGTCCATATATTGTACATATTCTAATTAGCTCATTATGCTAATCATGCTATTTAAGACAATTATTGCATTAGTCAAAAATAAGAACCGGTGTCATTAATAACTTCCTCGTCATAAAAAAAAAACCTTGAAAAGCGGTATTATCCATGTTTTTAGGCTTCCCGGATTAAGATTAGCAACATATAACACATTATGCTAATTTGATGATTATGCTAATTAGGCTCATATAGAAAATTGCCCAAGGTTGCCAAAATGGCAACCAAGCTGAATTTACCTCCAAACCCATCTAGAACACGAATCAACAAAAAAAAACTTGTACTTATCAACTTTTCCAGGTCATGTACATAATTATGGTACCGTCTACTTGACTAAATAGAGACCTTTAGATTTGCGTGGACTTATACATGTGACGTCCATTCAAGGGAGTGCATTTAAAGGACGTCGATCGTAGCAATCCACGTTGTCGTTGTGCAAATCTAAAAGTCCCTAATGATGCTACCACCAACCCTGGACCTCTCGAATGAGAGCATCCATTCAAAGGACGAGAGTACATTCTTGGTTTAATAGTAATGGGATTTCACCAAAATGAAATAACCTGTAAATTCACCGGACTTGAATCACAGTTGAGATCGATATTCTCTAGGTCAATGGTCAGCTCGACAGATCTGTGGAAGGCTGTATCAATGAAAAATCACGGTTCATAGAGAAATAGTGGATTGTGATTCCCCAACACTGTATGACCAGACTAATCTTACCACTTGTGAACGATATAAGAACTTCAGTGACGTATATTTTGTCACCCAAAACACGGAACGTTAAGTTTAAGAACTGTATGTGAAGTAACTAAAGTATTGAAATTATATTTGTGAATTTAAAAATATCAACTACAAGAAATATTCCTAGTCTAGAATCAATCTTTAAATACATCTTGCTTATAAAGACAGTCTTAAGGACTTCTTTTACATGGAAGATGCGGTGTTGTGTTTGTGCTCTGTTTATAAGCTCC